AACCAGACCTGGAAATAGAAAATGAGCCTTTATTAAGTCATGTTACTTGAAACTTTTAAACTTAGCAAGGTACTATCAGATGTGCCCTAAATTCTGACCTTTCTCACCACATGTATTAGGGACAACTTTTCTTTCTTCAGGGACACCTTTCTTCATTATGTGCTAGAAAGAAGGAGTTTGAAGTTGTGTTCTATTATTTTCCAAGGGGCTTAAATCAGCATCCCTGATGACCACTTAATTTTACATTAATTTGAACTAATCTGTGTTTGCTGTTATACCTCTGATTAAAACCATCTCATTTTGTGCTAATATGACCTCTGCAGAGCTTCTGAGTAATTCAGGATGAAAGCAGCATTTGTTAATCATCTGCTGGGCTTATCTTGCTAAAACACAATTTCAGGTTAAGTACAGGCTTAGGAAGAGCTATCCTGTCACGTGAAAAAACACAATCTTTGAAAAGCTCTTTTCCTGCTCTTAATTTTTCAAGTGGCATTTTCAGTGGAAAGTACAAGGTGCAAACAGGAAGCTATTCAGTCAGTAGCAACTTGTACTTACTGCTTCATTTTCTTCTTTTAACACATAAATGTGGGAAAGAGGTGGTTAACTTGTGCTCAGAGCAGAGGAAAAGCATGTTATTTGCTCTGGCTTGTTTCCTGTTGTAAAGGCATCAAACTGGTGTGAAACATGCAGAGGAGAGGTGTTGTGCAGGGGTCTGTGACTTTAGCATTACCAAATGACCCTACTCCTAGGCTTAGCACCTGGAGACATAAGGAATGACAAATAATTCCTGGATTGTAGTTTGGCCAATAATGCTTAGGAGAATAAATAATTTCAGGAGAGCCTGGAAACCTAGGTACAGTCTCATACCTCTTCTAAGCCCTCTACCAAACCTCTCAGCACTAGCAGCATGACTGGATACTCTGTTGTCTCTAGAGCAAGTGAATTTATCCTGAGGTACCTGCAACCAACATCTCTTTTTATGCCCTGTGAACCCGATGAAGTTTCAGACATCAGCAGCTTGAACTGTTTACATCAGTGCTTCAGGGTAGACAGCTGTGAGAGCTTTTTCTTGGCTTTCTGTGTGCTCTGGCTTTTTTATGTCTTTAAGTAGTGGCACAGGTTGTCCCTCAGAACTGAGCTTGTGTGTTAATCCTTCAAGAAGCTTCTGGCAGCTTTGCAGTGGGAGGAAGACTCTGCAGTGTTTAACTGCTGGCATCTTCTTTCTGGAGTGTTAAAATTCAGATAAAATTTCAAGCACCTGGACTAAGTATACAGAATGTGAGAGCAGGAATCAACCCATATTTAGGTGTCTGATTTCAGAGAGTCTGAGTGTGCTGCACTGGGCTTCATGGAAATGGGCCTGCAGTAGCTCAGTGGTGCAGCAGACTGAATATCAGTGTTTCATTGCACCCCTATCAGGCTTTCTGTGCTCACTTGGGAAAGCTCTGGGCAGAATCTCTTCCCCTTCCTCCCATCTGCCCTGCTGGGCTACAGCTCTTGGCCACCTTTGCCTTCTGCTTCAGATATGATCAAAGAAAGGCTCTGTGCAACTTTCCATCCTGCCCCAAGACTTATTATGTTTATGATTCAAACTTTTGTTTTGATTCAAGAGAAGCTAAGCTACTACAAGCTGCTTTAGCTGAGATGGACACAGCATTTCACCAGATTTAGATAGAAATCCTGAAATCTCTTAAGCACCATCATAGTGTGTACATTGGTTACTCTCCTGATTTTCTCCCACCTTGCACTTTATGGATCCAATGACACCTTTGTAAGGGTGTCCCACTCAGAAGTGGTGTGATCAATATACCTTGCCTACAGATCACAACCTTTTAACTCCTCTGTCACCTCGTGCCCTCTCCACCCTGCCTAAGAAACAATATGTGTTCACAAAAGCAAGGTAAAGGCGGGAGGAAGTGATGCATTTTTTAAACACTTTAACCTGTTTAGCTTTTTATTCCAGAGACATGCAGCTAAACTGAAAATTGGGAGGTATTGGTACTTCATAAGTCTGCTAAGCAGATCTTTTATTTGTGCAACAAAAGCTAGTAAAGCAAATATTGTCTTGAAGCCTCAGATTGTTCTCTATGTGCTGTCATTTTCTAGTTCCTGGTACTTAGCTTAAAACTGAAATTGCCAACATCTGGAGAACCTCAGCTTCCATTTTCATGACTGAAGTGCATTTCTAGTTTCATGACTAATGATGAGAAAAGGTTAAAAGCCTTTAAATGGAAAATCTCTACAGGCAAAGTAAAAATGTTCATTTCTTTTTCATTTCATGTTTCAAAGTCTATTTTAAAGCAAAAGCTGTATTTTTAATAAATGGGGATTAAGTGTCAGCAACAGTATGGCAGGACATTGTATGGCAAGAAAAGCTGCCAGCTCAGCACACGATAGCAGTTGTAAAAGCTATTTATGAAATGGTTCACATGTTGTCTACAGTGCTTAAGTGTATTATATATCACTTCACTGAAAATTGTATATTACACACTGTCTCGAGTTACTGGGAGCTCTCCAGAGTTTTGAATACTGCAGTCCTGCGGTTTGTCTTTGTCAAATACTCTCTGAATAGTTCTGAATTTGGTCTTTATTCTGGCAAATTGCTTGAGTTGTTGAAAAGTATAATAGTTTACATCACTTATCTCTGTTACAGTGGCACAGTGTGTTTCCCTGGAAAGTTAAAAGAACATAAAAGATGGGAGTTATTAGACAGTTGAGCTCCATTTGTGTGAAAAAATAGATGCTAGAGAAATGCAATGTGCCATTGGCATGGTAACACTGGTACCAAAACATTCAGGAGCACAGTTGCTCTCCAGGTTTTGAATATTAAATTTTATAAGTTAATACTTAAAACCCACTTCAGCTTTAGAGGATTGCCCATGGGAACAATGGAAATGGCCTGACCTTGTGAAAGAGGCACTCGGTGTACCCAGCAGGCTGGGCTCTGCACAGGGTTGAACACATCTGAAAAGACACAGAAAAAAACTATGCAACACTTATTTTTGAGCTTAAAGCCCTGAGGTGGTCTGGTAAGGCAGACAAGGAATGACACTACTTGAAAAATAAGCAAATTAGAAGCATTCTTATGTAGACTCCCACTCCTGAGAAACAGGCATATCCTGTGTGCCAGCTGCAGATGTTTGCAGGTGTCTCTGTTGCAGTCCATTCCCTCACAAACTAGAGGTTCTAAGATATCGCAGCCTGCTTTTATAGAGGGAATGCTACAACCTCTCATGAATGTGGACAATAATATTCACAGAATGGGCAAGGATATGACTCGTGATAGACATGAGAAGACATGTTTCAGGAGATGGGAGAGGAAAATATATTATTAGCAGGACAACAGCTGCTCCAGTGATTTAGCAAACTTATCTGATGATATTGGTTGAGACCTTTAAGTAGACTTCACTGTACTTGTGGTGTGTATGAGCTACACCAATGCCAAAAGATTTGTTTTAGTTCAGCACTTTTTTGGAAGCTCATGTCTCTGACAGAATGAATGAAAAAAATACTCAACAGGAATGGTGCCCATAGTTGTGCCACTGTTTGTATTTCCAGAACAGTATGGACAGGCCAGCAATCGACTACATCTTTCATAGTCACTGCTGTGGAAATAAGAGTGGAATGAGGTAATGGCTGTGTAGTTGCATGGTACACACATACATTGAGATCTGAGACAAAATGAACTGAAGATGCTGCTTGTGCTTTTGCATTTCAGATGGAAAAGGTGTGGGGAAACACATAAACCATTGTACAGATGTGCATGTATTTGTCATGCTTAGCAGAATGGATATGAAATCTCCAGACCAGGCTGTAGTTCACATTGCCTCACTAAGAATAGGATAAATGCTCTTTAAGCAGGCAGTGAGCTGCTTGAGCACACAGGGGCTGGATTGCTGCATGCCAATCACTTAGAATCATTCCTCAAATCAGAGCAGTGATTGCTACAACAAATTTATAAATAAATATAATTAATAGATTTCAATAGGTAGCTGAAATTATTATTAACAATTTTGTGGAGTTTCTTTTGTCTTATTAAGAAAAATAGTGTTAAATCTTCAAAACTATATATAAAGCTGCTATAAAGGCTGTAAGGGGTGACCCCCGTGGAATAACGAAATGATATTTTTTAGTTAAGTAGCTGACATTCATGGTTGTTACATTTCTCAGAGTTATTAAATATTCTCTTTGATTTGTCATTCAAGTTAAGTCTGCTGTATTTTCACAACCTACTAAACAGTTTCAGTTTGAATCATTTTGGCCTCAAGCAATATTCAAGATGTCCCCATCTCTCCAGAGAGAATCTGAGGTTGTAGGACTCTGTTCTTTCCTACTTGCTTTATTTCTGTTTCTCTGAGTCTTCATCTGTTCCTTGTTTTCTCTCTACTAGATGAATTTCCAGGGGGTTTAAATAGAGCTTTTCTCATTTTCCCTTATAGGATTCTTCCAAGAACATTTCTGCACTGAAGTCTTTGCAATATCTGTGCTTTGTATAGTTTCAAGTCAGCCCAGGTGTATCAATAAAAGATTAGGAGATAATCTTCTTTCTTGGGGACTTCAGTGTGTGGCTTCTCCCTGCCATCTCAGCACTCCAGCTATCTCCTCAGTAATGCTCAGCATGGCTAGTTTGGAGCTGCCAGGGGTTTACAGGCAGAAGTTTTTGCTGTGTGACACTGTTGCTGAGAGGCAGAGCACAGTGCAGCACCTCAGCCTGGCAAGGGCTGGGGCCCTAAAGCACAACTTGCTGCTGCTGCTGCTGCTGTCTGATCCCCCAGCCCTGGGAACAGAGATCCTGCTTCTTTGGAGGTGAAGCACAGAACCACCACATGGAATTGCAGCAGCTGGATGGATGAAGGGCTGAGCTTCACCAACTCCTTAGGTGCTCACGATCTCTGCTTTTCATGGAAAATGAAATAATGAAGTGCCTTACTAGCTGTCTGCTACCAAAGATCTATAAAGTGTTCCTCTATGCTTTTGCACTGATTAGAATCTAAAGAAGCAGGTTCAGTATATTAAGGTCTATGTTCTTCAAACAGCACAGTCAGTAAAATCATACAGAATTTTGTGTTCAGTCTCCTGAAAAATTCTGTGCAAAAAAGAATTCTGTAATACCTCTTAATTTTCAGCTCATAACAGCAATAACAACCCTGATAGGTGCTGTTTCCTGGGAATTCATGACCCGTTGGTGTCCTTTCAGTAAGATGCAAAGCAGCTTTATTTCACTTTGACCATCAGACCTTAACAGCAGCTTGATGAGTTTACTATTTTCATTTGTAAATCTGCGTTTTCTGCCATGTGTTTTCAATAACAAGTTTCTCCCAAGGGCTTTGAATTTCAGTGGCAAATAAAATATTGACGATGTTTTTGGATATATATGTTCTAACACTTATCAGTGAGACATTATACAGGCCATTTGCCGGCAATAACAACATAATAAGAGCTTGGCAGGATATATTTTTTTTCTATCTGGAGGCTAGATTATTTTAAATTGATAACAGGGGCCAGATGGCTATTTATAAGGGCAAGATATGAATTGCAAGCATATGTTTCCAAGGCAATGTTGGCCAGTGGCTGTTCAAGCATAAATTGCTTCCTATTACCACTTTTGATAGGAGGGATATGGTCTAGTTCACCTCTGTGGGAACACAGTGTGGCAGGACACTTCCATCACTGCTCTTTCCACCATTTCCAGTAAAAAAAAGACAATATTTACTCCATCATGACACCCCTAATTGATACTGCAGTGAGTAATTTTGTTGTGTTGTTGAATAAAGGTTAGGGTTCTTCCATACTGTTATGTAGTATTCCCATAGAGAGCTACTTACATGGTGTAGAAGATGCAAGGAGGAATTATAGAGTTGATAATATGACCTACAGGATACAAGAGTGAATTGATGCTTTGGAAACAAAAATGTGATTCCTCAAGTATCACAGGAGTACCATTTCTCTAAACTTTACCTGTGAAACAGTTAAGAAACAGACCTGAAAATCATTATTAGGTTGTGAAGTTAGAATGAGATTGTGATTTTCTTTTTGTTTATGAAAGGACGAAACAGCAGCTGATTACAGTATGGCTAAATTTTTACTAAACCTGGACAAAGAATATGGGAAGGGAGAAGGGGAGAGTACTTGTCCTGTCTGAAGGAAGAAGCCTGTGTCTAAAAATCTACCATATTATTGTCAAAGCAAGAGCTGCTTGATGCCTTTACTCATGTGCTCTGGTTGATTTTCTCTCTTTCTTTTTTCAAGGCTTAGAAATAATGATTCAGTCAAAAAGACTTTTCTAGCAGCTTGCCTACCATCTTCATATAACTTGAGAGGCTGCTTTGCTGATGTCCTGTACTTTGCTGACTCTGAATATGTAGTTTAAATCCATTCCTTTAATCATATGATAAAGAAGGAATCTGATATAATCTAAAAGCAAAGGGCAAGTAGTTCTTTTGTTAACATAGGTATAAGTTAGGTGTAAGTTTTTTGGCTGGAGATAACCACTGGCTTTTTAACAAAAGCTCTGAAAACCTGGTCATCTCTTTTGTTTCTGGCATAGTTTGAATTGCTTTTCCCAGAATGGAAAATAGGTTGAAAGGTGTATGTGTTTTGCTTGAGGCCTTTTTATTAAATTTTTATATTTTTTTTTGTCTTAAGCTTATGCTTTCTGTATTTTGCAAAAGCAATGCTATGAGAGGGCTATTCAGTACAGTCTAGTATTCCAAGCTCTGTTCCCTATCTCCACTATCCTCTTTTTGGGAACCTCATGATCTATATTCAGCGTTCCTTATTTTCCTCCATCTACATTTAAACTTAGAAATCTCTGCCCTGGAATCCACTGCCCAAAATAAGTGTGCTATTAAGCTGACAGCATGTCACTGATGCCATGTTTTTTCATAAATATAAATATGCAGCATCAGCAATCACATTCTTCCTGTAAGATTCTTATCCTCAGATTAAAGTGGCACAAGTCTAGGGTACACACAGCACTAATATAAATTTTAAGACCTACCCACAGCAGAATTTCTAATCTTTCAGTATTAGCAGTGTAGTAAGGTACCATATTCTCTACATTTTTTTTAAATCCTATTCCTGCATCAGTACACTGTAAATTAGCATACAAATTATTTTATCAGTGTTTCTTATTTTCCAAAGGTGGGGGACTGTTTGCCTTCCCATATTTTCTCAGTAAAGTTTAACTGCAGGTGGAGAGGAGGTAGGACTTCAGCCATTGGATTGTTTCATGATTTAAGAGGTGACATATGTTTAGTGCTCTATATTTCTCATGAGGTCTTAAGCTGATACCAATGAGAATTCTTAAAACTAACTATAGGCACTTAACTCTGTATGATTTAAAGCTCTATAGCAGCACAGCAAATAGATTACAGTGGAAATACTAGACAAATATTAAAAACCACTGTTGTTTTGAACAAGGTAAACGTGGAGAATTGACCACACCTGCTTGCTACACAGATGTTGTGCCAAGGACAAGCTCAGAGAGCCAGTATCAGGAACTTGCAGCAGAGACACATTTAAGATTAATGTCTCACAAATTGCTAAATTAAACTAACAAGGCTGTACAGTACTGTGCTTTATGTGAGTGTGGCATTTATGCTGATTAGGATATGATAAGTTATCATAATCAGTTAGTAATCAGCTCACTTCAAAACAGTGTGACCAAAATGAAGAGTTTACCTTACATTCTGAAAATGATAGGTGTGAAGGCTATAAAATATTAGTTCTGTTTTTTAACCCCCCTTGGCAGTTAGTTTTTGAGGGTAGCATGCACAGCTGTTATATAAAGCAGTCTTTCTGGGTACGTGCCGTCTTTGAAAATCAGATTCCTTTTTTCTCCAAGTTCTCCTTTGCTGATGGTTGAGGGGGCCATTGCAGGGTTTGGGTTTAATTCACTGGGATTAACAGCACAGCATATTTAAAATTCTTATCGTTCTTCTTAATGATAGAAAGAGGTGTGCAGTACCTGGGGCCCCCCAAAATCAATAAAGTTCCCTGATAGGGTTTTGTGGGTGTTTCACAGCTAAAGACCTTCAGCCATTACCACACAGATTTACCAGCGAATTTCAGAATACCTTTAGCTATTCTACAGGGGTGCTAAGTTGCAGAAGAAAATATTTACTTTCTTTCTTCCTTATTTTAGGATATTTGTTTTCCCTCATTCTCTGCCACATAACTAAGGAAAGTAAATCTAATGGCTAAGTAATCTCTCACACTGGATTATGTTTTAGATTTCTTATCAGCATCTATTGTGTAAGTATAGTCTGACTCATGGGAGAACAACTGTTATCAAATATATGTTTCTTTGGAAGTTTTGGTAAAAGATAATGAGCTTTTCCTACCTTATAATATAAACCATACCTTACATTATAAGGCATGTTTTGCTCATGCCACACTTTCCTGAATGGACGGAGATAATGGCTGGTAGGGCTTTACTGATTTCTTTGTTTAATATTTTCAGTTCTTTATTTAATTTTTTTATAACTATAAACCATGTTAGATGGAAGAAACAGTACAAATATGCAGAGATTTATATCATGTTCATGTATTAAAGTTGCATCTACATGGGAAGGATACATGGGGGCAGTGATACAGCAGAAAAATTAACCCTTACAACTGTTGCAGAGCGGCCTAGAAACTGGATCTGTATGAGATTGTGTTCTTGCAAGTTAGGTTCCCTAAAACTTGGGCACCTAGTAATTTAAAATATTACTTTTCAAAATCTGGATCCATTAAGTTTCGTCGTATCCTGCAACTACAGAAATTTCGTAGGTACCCCAGAGGTCTGCTACCCTTCAGAAACAGAATTACCTCTGTCTCAATGGTGCTCAATTGCCCGGTGTCCATGATATTCCCAAGTTGCAACGGGATTCAGAAAAAAAAAAAAAAAGTATTTTATCTTTTGGGTACTGTCTAATCCATGTCTTATACACTCAATACCAGTTCTTTTCATCTACCTCTTCTGGACTACAGAGGGAAACAGTTTCCACTGGTGGGGTGAGAGGTTTTGCAAAATGACTAACCTGCATTCAAAGCTTTGCTGTGTATTAGGTAGAGGAAGGACTTGAAGATAGATTCTTTATAACATAAATTTGTGAGTATTAATTGATAATTTGTTAAAGAGGACACTGAGTTTGTCGTCAGTTTGCTGTTTGTGGGGTTTCTTTTTGAAGGGAGGACAGACCATGCTGAGTAATGCACTTTTAACTGCAAGGTGAGGTTTTCAATTGTGAATGGAAGTGGATTTAAGTAACTGCACTACTTCTAAAGGGGATCCCTCTCATATCTCCTCCTTTGGAATCTTCTCTTAGCTAGGTCAGCTAGTTGATATTAAACACCTTTTTAATCGCTGAAGACAGAGCCTAAAGCCTGTCAGCTTGCAGCTGTCAGTTCTGCTGGGTAGAAAGACACTACAGTTAGGGATCATAATGAAACTTTAATAGTTCTTGTAAAATACAAATAATAATAATAGAAAACATCCTATCCTTAACAGACCACAGTATAAATTGACAAAACAGAGGTATTTTTATCTTACAGTTTAGGGACTGATATGTTGGCTTGCTGAGGTTTATGAAACAAACCTCATCTAGGATCAAACATCCTACAATAGAAGACATCAGAAACAGAAGGAAGTTACTTACAAGATCACAATATTTATTCCTGGGAAACCAGAGGAATGAAAATTCTGGTTTCTTTTTTTCTTGAAAATGCTGCCCGTTTGAGAATTTTGTTCACATATAGAGGTTTTTCCAAGATCCATCTCTGGCCAAGAAAGGATCAGTGATACACTACAAGTGAGAGAGACCAGAAGGTCATGGAAACATTGAGTGTAACACACAGCTAGAAAATTATATTAAGGTAAGGCAAGTACATCATATACAGAGATGGGAAGCAAAGTTTAGAATTGACTTCCAGATCAGAGTATCTGGGAGGTATCATGCTTCCTCAGTTCACAAGAATACCTTTCCTGTTACAAAAATAACTGGTAGTTATATGACATTTTTGCTTTTGAAAAACAAGAAACGATTTTTACAATATGACCTGGAATCATGGAAAGTTACTTTATGTCTTTATACATTTTGTCTGTGTCTACAAATCCGAGGTTGTCTGTTAGTTCTAGTTTGTATTTTCTACAATTTTGGCTTTCTATTGTTATAAAAGAATAAGAAATTGCTCAAGCCTTAAAACTGATCTCAGTATTTGCATAACAAATGTGTGAGTGAAACTAAAAAAGCTCATTTGTACCCTCAGCATCCAGTCTCCACTTCAGTGGTGTCACTCAACAAACATGACACCATATAAAGGGGACTTGTGTGAACTGCACTTTCACTTCACTTTGAAGCAGAAGGGTAAGTTGAATTTCCTCTTCATAAATCACAAGGAATTTCAGCTAGAAGGCAAACCCATTTCTTTTTATTTCTGTGGTCATACTTACATTTTAAAATTGAATTTTCCTTTATTAGTCATTTTTTACTTTGCTTATACTAGCAATTTTAGTAGATGGGGACACGCCTGAAGGACACTAGATAGTAATGACTGATGAAGGTCATTAAAAGTGGATTAAAACTGAAGAGCTGGTTTTTCTTCCATTTTGCTTTATAATTGATCAAGACTTTGACTCTGCATCATAATCCAATTATGAGCTGGATGCAGTAGTCCATTCAAACGTAATTCCCTGAATGATGATCATCAGGCAAAGGCTACGTGTTGTAATTGCATTTCCTTATCTCAGGGATGTAAGTATTCCTAGCCACCTAAGGTAGGTTTAATAATCTGCTCTCTCTAAGTCATTGGCCAGCATTTTCAGAGGTGTCTGCTAGCCTTCAATACATTAAAGGGTAAACAGATCAAGACACTTCAGATTCAACAGACAGAACTCAAAAGCGCTTTTAATACTGCTCATGTGTTCCCACTCTTTAAAGTGGAAATTCTTGACCATGAAGAATAGATACTGCTGTTAATTAAACAGATACTATATGCTACAAATTTATGACATAATTGAATATTCTTATCTTCAAGGGTATGTCCTACTGAATTGACTTTGATGAGACATTCCCCTAGAAAACAAGTTTGGTGTTGATGCAGATTAAGAATAATCTCAAAACTCTTCTATGACAGAATCAATCTGGGAGATATAAACAATACTTCTATTTGTAAAAATCTCAGCCCATTTTACAAATGGTAACTGATATTTTGATTCTGCTTGGCATATATACTTTGAAACAAATACCTTGTTATTACTGATGAACCCAGATTTTAATAATCTTGCAGCATTCAAGCCAACCAAGGTTTTATTTTCAATTTTGAGTGGTGCTGGATTTAGAACATATATTATGTGTCAAATCTGGTTGTTTTTGGGTTTTTTAAGAATGGAGATTTTTGAGAGAGAGTAGTACAGGATCCTCTCTAATTCATGCCACTAGAAAAGTGGAGGATGAGCCTTAAGTTACATATTTTGTATGAGAATCAACACAACACGATCACCTCATTAGAAATGAGGATACCAATCCTTGTCTCTTGAACCTTGCTTTATAGCTCTTATTATTTCAACTGAATGATGTCAATAACTGAGTATCTCCATGACACAGTAACTTACAGTCCTTCAATTCAGGTTTCATAACTGCACAGCATACCCACTCCCTGTGTTGTAAACCCACGATGTATATAATTTGAGTGCTTTTTAGTCATAATAGCACTAAGATTATAACCGTACTTAATGTTATATCTGAAAGGATAAAATAAGATTAATAGGCCTATTGCTAACCAGCAAAAATGCATTTTCCACAAGAATAACTCTGACATTTTCAAGCTTGTGGAATTTTGTTCAAAACAAGATAGGAATGTCAACTGAGCTGTAACATTTTGCCCATGTGTAAAACACTATCAGTCTGTTTATGTCAAACAAATGTGCTTAAATAGTACTGTGGTTGAAGAGATTGCTAACTAGCTCCAAAACATTGCAATAACCACTGTAACAGATTGTGCCCTTCAGGTTGGTATCATAAGCATCATTGAGTGATTATAGTCCTTAACAGCCAACTAATGGCATAAGTGTGATCAGTTACATCCAAGCCCATCATTTCTCAAGGATAAATCCAACAAATAGTCAGTGACAGCAAAAGGGATAATTTATCTTCACTACTCCCAAATGTGTGGCTATCATTCTGTAATGAGCACGTCAAGCTGAATCAGACTAAAAAGAGTTTAAACTACACAATGGTAGAAAATAATCTGGGAAATCTCTTACACCTAAACTATAGACTGTATTTAAACAAGGAAATAATGTAAATTTAAAGAATTTGCAATTATATGAGCCAATAATTTCTTACAAAATCGTTGCCTGACAAATGTGTGGGTTTTCTTACAGCTGGCCTGAGCAATCATGTTGTCTTACTCATCCTACACACTCACAGCAGTAGCTGCTTTGTTAGTGACTTGCCATGCATTAAGTAAATGTCCAGAAATTTCTGGGCTGCCTGATATCCCTGGAAGAGATGTTCTGAAAGGACAGCCACGTGTACCGGGTAAGTAAACTTCCCTTTTTTGGAACAGATCCTTGTCATGAAGGCAGCATTGACACAGAAGGACGTGTGCTCTCAAGGAAGCAGCTGTGTTAAGCAGGGGAAGGAAAACTTGAATGGAGGAAGCAGGCAGTTTAAATATTTATTTTTTTTTCTCAAAAGACAAGCCTCCTCTCTCTTCTGGGAGAAGAGGGGAAGTGAATAGGTTATAAATACTTTAAGATATAAATATTATATATACAAATATGTCTTTGCAGTGCTTTTTCCATTGACATTCCAACGGGAATTGCTTCTTTCACAGGAGAAGTTATCTTTTATTTCTTTTTTTTTTCTTTTTTTTTTTTTTTTTTTAAGTATGAAGGCAATGCTATCCAATACTCAAAAGTGTAATTAAAAGGATTCTGGCATGTTGCTCTAGTGTTCAAAGATGATATGTGCAAAAGTAGACTGATAAAGAACACAGTTTGCACTGTGTAATTTTCCTTCTAGGTAGAAATGCTTTCTCCAAGTCCGTTGACAAGGCTAAAGCACTATCAAAATTATTCATAAACTCTCTTTATTAGGTCAAATATGGGTTTTTTTAATCGATTGTGAAGTGCAATAAGTGTTGCAAAATTGCAACTTGTGGATGCAGCAATATTTTGTGGTTCTACATTGCTATTTGTTTCAGTTGTCAATAATTGGAATGTGATCATGGGAGCACATTAGTGACTTTATTCTACATGTAGGACCTTTATTTCCCATGGAAACGGGTATGAAAAAGGAATCTACCTTTACAACGCTTTACAGTACTGCTAAAGTACACCTTTAGCAAGCACTGCTGGATGGGCTCTATTTCACACTATCTATGCAGAAAGTTTCCTCTACAAGTGTTTATGCCTTCACTGAAATAAGATCCCACTGTAAAAACACAAAGCATTCACCCTGCACACTAAAAAAAAAAATGGTATGGTGTCATAGGAACTGGTCCCTCTCTAAAATCTCCCTTGTGCTTGTTCACCACCATTTAGTAGAATGAGACAAATTCTGTTTTGCAAAGCCAGTTTCACACATATAACGAACAAAGTTCTTCAACCTAGGAAAATTTAGTTGGTTCTGTGCAGAGGGGAATTAGTAGCATTTTAGAGGGTTGGATGTTTTTGCTAGTCTGCTTTACAATAGATTAACAACAACATGAAAAAATTACTGGGAAAATATTTATTTTACACCTAATGATGTAAAAAAAAAAAAACTATTACACGCTAGTTCTGGAAAATTATTAGTTTTGTCAAGGGAATTGTTCCTATCATCAGGGCCTAGTTTTGCTCGATTGTATAACTTTTAATTTTATCTATATAGGTCTACCTGGTTCTCCAGACATTGACTGCCACAATCTTTTAGTAAATTTGCAACACCGACTTTTCCAACTTGAAGCCGGTAATTCTTCTTCTTGTTACTATTTCAGCTCACAAACAGTTTTAAGCTCAGTAGGCAAAGCTAATTATAGATTCATGACTTGCAGGAAAGAAATTGCATTTGAAAACAGTACTGCATCCCAAAACTCCATTTTCTCATCCAAAGCTCGGGAAATCAAGACTCTGTTTCCCTGGAGTAGTAGATTTCTTTTAGCAACTGTAACACACATTTATTAAAATTTGAGTTATTTGAAAAATATTACAACTGATGTTGCACTTTCCACACAGATTCATGGGAACTCCTCAGTTTTGTACCACATATTTTTATTTATCAGAAACCAGATTGTTGAGGGTGGTAAATTGTTTCTTACTGAGAAAGAATTCATAAAAAAATATCACTTCTCTGTTTCACTTACTCAGATTTTAAGTAAACTGATCCTCTTTAGAAAGCACACTCAATATAACAGGGCTCACAGAGTATGTAGTAAATGTGAGTGGAAAATCCTTGTCTTGGAGAGAAGGACAGATGGTCACAAGGAGCATAACAATACACTTAGGGAAAAACTAGTGGATTGGTAAAATTTAAGATCTTGTTTTCTCTTCATCCGTTACTCTCATTTTTGCCTTCTCTTCCTCTTACCACCTTTGCTCTTCGTCTCTTGATTTCCCTTTCTTTGCTTTTTCTTTAATAGGCTGCAGAAAATTTAAAAAGCTAAGTAGGTTTTTTCTTTTCATGTTTCAGCACTTGCTTTGAATGGGAAAATAAGAGAAGTAGGAGAGAAAGTCTTTGCTACCAATGGAAAGAAAGCTGATTTTGCATCTGCACTACGGTCCTGTGAAGAGGCTGGAGGAACTCTTGCAACTCCCATGAATGAGGAGGAGAATAAAGCTATTATGGACATTGTGAAACAGTACAAGCAATATGCTTACTTGGGCATTAAAGAGTGTGAGACTTCAGGCCAGTTTACCTATATAACTGGGGTGCCCCTGGGCTACACCAAGTGGCACCAATATGAGCCTAATGGCAAAGGGAAAGAAAAATGTGTAGAGATGTACACGGATGGGAGCTGGAACGACAAAAAGTGCAACCTCTATCGTCTCACAGTCTGTGAATTTTAAAGAATGGCCTTTCAGCCACCTCAGAGTGTGGAGACAATGAAATATGCTGTGCCTTAGGTTTATAAAATCGCTGCAAATTTTCTGTATCGTAAAATCTAAAATGAATCGTATTTAGGTAATTTTTTATCCTTAAGAAAATGCTAAATGTGGTAGGTGATTAACATAATTAAAATGTGCTTAATCTGATGTGTTTCTCTCTTTTGGAGGGTTGGGAATACTTTACAATTCATTTTTCATGGCAGGCTGTCTCTGTGCCTTCGTGAAGATTAGAGGAGAATTTCAAGGTTTGACCTGGGATATTGGAAAAGTCTGAAGTTAAAATTGCCCATACCTTCATAGTGGAAGCATTTCCAAGTACTTAATAGTTTCTGCCTTAAAAGAGATGCCCAGAGTTGACTTCACTGGAGCAATTATGGTCTCAGGTTTTGTACCTCACCTTTGATTATAGAGCTTGTGTCATATTTAAGCACACACTGACTCACTCAGCATCCACATTTAATTTTTTGTTTTATGCAAATGTTAACAGTACCAGTTACAATTAATTATCTTAGTGTTTTATAGAGTGTAGCTTCTGAAACTAAGATAAATATTTCATTAGATCCAAGTAGACAAAGATATGTGTATAAATGCCAAAGATCGCATTTTGTTGCTAAAGCAGCACATTCCCTCAGAAAACAATCTTTTACAAAATATTTCTTTTACAAAATATTTTCACTGCTTGCTCAGTTGGGTAGGTGGTGAGCAGGGGCAGCTCAGTAGAGTACCATGGGTAGCAAATTCTCACATACTTACCTTGCAATAGAGTTAAAAATACATTCATAAACACTTCATATCCTGCTCCTCACCCACATGTGGCCTCTGTGCAGGGAGCCCCAAGGAAGCTGGACTTGACTCTGGGCAGTGTTCCCTGGTCTATACTGAGGAGAAAGATGGGATCTTTTCACAAGCCCTGTCAAGTAGGAAAGATTTTGGATCTTCAGGCAGCTTTGGCAATGGATGATCCATGTCCAGGTTGCATGCAGCACTCCAACTGATCAGGGAGCACACAGGGATTCTGAAATGGAAAAAGTACACCCAGTACCATGTTGGATAGATTCCAAAGTGTGAACCTGCTTTACAAAGTAGCTTGCTTTAAGACTTATGACCACGATACCATTTTAGCCAAAAGTTTTGAATGGGAAGGGAATAGATTATGCCATGATGAAAATTCTTACTTTCAGGTTACACTGAGAAAAAATAAGGCTAAATTAATACCTTTTAATTTTCCTGGGCTCTGACTAGCTGCACTAAAGCTCCTGGAAAGAGTGGAAGGTCTACTTAAAGCTAACACTTAAATTTTAATTATTAGTATTTAAGTAAACCTTGCTAGCAATTTTTGAGTCTTTTACTCATGCAGATTCTTTGTTAGAGCAAGGTGATTACCTGTCACAAAAAGGCATCATGTTAGAGATCCCCATCCAAGAAAAAAAAAAAACACTACCAACATGGTTTTTACCTATCTGAACCAAATAAGCATATTCATTTACATAGATCTCCAACCAGTTGTGGAGTATACTATTTCTTTGCTTAATGAGCTGGTTATTTCTACCACATTGGTGTTTTCAAGCTGACTATAGAAATCTCTTGTTAAAGTCCTTAATGTGTAAAATCTTAAAAATCTAACACAATATATCATCTACATCTAAACAGATTTAGACTTCAAAACACTTGGGGGGGGGGTTATCCATTTAGGGAAAAAAGGGTATTTTTTTTTCAGTCAAAAGCTAATATTTATTACATCAATAAAAAAAGCACCTAGGCTAGCTCTGAGATTCCAATTTCTTTCTGGTTTTAGCCATTACCATTGAAAAATAGGAAAAAAAAAATCAAGAACATGTATGTTGCTTAAAAGTAAAAACACCTCAGATGTGGTGTTTTTATTTAAGAACTGCTAGGCAGCACTTTCCCCTTTATGGTTCACAGTGGATCTGCAGCATTTCAGGTAACTGAATGAAAAACCTCAGTTATTTTCATAACATATCCCCAAATAACATTGCACTCAGCTCTTCTCCTGCTACGATCTGGCCTCCCCCTTTTTACCACTCTGAAGCACCTCCTTGTTCTGTGCCCAAAGTCTTGACCATGCCTCATACATAAAACTGAGGATATCAAAGGAACTTCTGCCAGTTCTCTGCCTTCTTCATAAAAAGTTATGTCCATATTCCTTTGCATGGACTTTTATCTCCTAACTTTTATGAATTTCAGAGGGGAAAAAAAAAAGTCCAGTGTCAACCACCATATGTGGAAGAAATAAAATTCCCTAATAAAAGCAACAATCTACAGACAAGCCTGGAATGTGTTTGTATCTCATGGGTTTCATACATGGCAATTAAAAACCCAGTGTAGGTACATACTCAGTAGAATGTTGCTTATTCTTTGCAGTTCCACAGAGGAAAATTATCCAGAAATGGTTATCTTATTCTTTTAGATAGCTTTTTTTTGTGTGTCTATGTATCAATTTATACCCCAAAATGCTGTTTAAAACACCAGCATTTTGGTCTATCTTTTGTGAAAGATCTGAATTTTCCATTTATGTATTAATGGATTTTTTTCTAATGGACAGAGAGGTTGTCACAAGAAGAAACAGAATAAATTGTTTCTGTGTTCTGTTATGGTAGTAAAAATAATTTTGATACAATCTTGTTGTAGAAGTGCAAAGAGCAAACATAATCTCTGGATTATAATGACCAGACCAGGAAAAATCCAGGTTAGTGTTTTTTTCTTAGTTTATAATAATTTGCTACACAAACACAATGCAAATGTAAGATGTTTAAATCAGAAAATAAGGGACTTATTTGCTATAGGAGCCAATTTTAAGAATTAAAATCTTAGTATAAGTAAAATTCGGCAAAATTTCAACTCCTTTTGAAGCAAATGGATTGTGTCTCACATAAGATAAATTGAATACAGTTGTTGTTACAGTATATTTAACATTAAGGCCATGGCCATAAAAATTATGGATATTTATTTCAGAGAGAATTCTCTCTGGTCCAGAGTTATATCTTCTTTTATAGTGGTATAATTTATTTAGTTGTTTTAGCTTAGGAATACTATTAGCAATTTTGAGCACTTAGAAAGCTCACACCAGCCCCCATCAATCCCTACCACATGGGAAGAAATTAACCTCTGATTATACTAAATTGAGAATTTTTCTGTGACTGCCTGATTTTTGTAGAAATTTGATTTAAAAAAAACCTCAAAAACAAGCAAATGGTTCTTGAGTAAATTGAGTTCATTTTCAGCCTTAGGTGAACATAACTGACAGGATGTGACCCAGGCTGGCAGAGTTACCTTATCTTGTATGAATTGTGAGCTGTGTCTTCTGCAATTTTTTTTTAAAACCAAGTTTAAAGAATAATTGCATTATTGTTCTGTTCTTTTCCAGAAAAAAAAAGACCTTCATGTGGAAAAACAGCAGTGCTTGCTGCTGCAATATCCTAGTAGTGCCATTTTTTAATACAAAATAGGGTAAAGGTTCATCTGTGTTTTACATTTATTTGCAGCTTTTCTTTAGAAAAACAATAAGTGCAAGTAGGAGAAGAAATATTTGCCACCAGGAAATTTGTTAGCTGGTTTTGAGAAGTGGTAGAAAGACTAATGGTCTTATTACCATGCCTATGAACCAGAGGAAAATAATGTTCTTGGGAGTATTGTGTAATGGTACAAGAGACATGTTTGTCTGGACCTCAGAGTATCTGATTGCAAATGATTACCAGAAGTTGAAACACGTTGTTATAAAATCATATTAACCTGCAGTTATACAAACATACCTGATTTTAAAGCACAATAGATACAGGATGCCTGGAAATTACCGTAGCACCTTAAAAAGTTATAAGGGGCTTGGATTTCATTTGAAGTGCCTGTTAGGAAACCCAGGTTTGGCAGAATTTGGCTCAAGGGTGATAATCCAGGTTGTGATGCCAAGTGAAACCTGGAATGAAACTTTTCACTCATCTGTGCCCTTTTGCTCAGGAGGTGAACAGTACTGGAGAGCAAGGGAACCTTAACCCTTGAGGAGCCTGTGGCAGTGGTAATTATGGTTGTAAAACCTGAGCGAATTTATCCTTCTGCAGATGACGGAGGACAACCACAAAATATATGGAATAATAGTTTCATCTGGTTCATAACCATGAGGTTTGAGGGGTTTTTCCCATTAGAATGCTATTTTGCCATCAACAACTATTGAAGAAATTGAGATATTGTCTTGCTTTCTATTTGAAAACTTGATTTCTTTCTGTGTTTTTCAGCTGAACTGCACTGAGTGACATATCAGAGACACCTAGTGACCTCCACGTGGATCCTTCATACATAACCTAAGTCAGTGGAGCAAGATGACAGTAGCATTTTTATGCACTGATCACAGTGTCTCCGGGTAAAATGAAGACTTTCTGCTCTGAAATGCTGCTTACAATTTTAAAAACAACAAAACCAAACCAAAAGCCCCATGTTGAAATTTGCCATCCCAGGTGTGCATATCTTGCTGAATTATTTCCTTCCTGTTTTTAATGCTTAGCAAAAGTAGCCTCAGCTGTCCTCTGAGAAGGGGAGGCACCAGGTCTTACATGATCTGTGCCCTTCCTGGTATTTCCAGACAGAAGGGAGCTGCTGGGGACAGTCTGGTGTTGATTTGGAAAAGAAAATGAAATGCAGAAAACACAGGACAAGGTGGTAACAAGACAGGTTGGAAGCAACAGCAGAACAGCAGAAAAATCAGTGTAAACAGAAAATATGGATGGGGTTAGGGGCATTTAAATGCAAACAGAAAATAAGGAAAGAATTTTTAAAGTTATCTGAGGTGTGACTAACACTATGGAGCAGAAGAACTAACTTTTAGGAAGCTAAGTATTCAAAGGAAAGGCTAACAAACAGACTTACTGGAAGGAACACACAGCCACTTTCATCAACTGAAATTCAACTCCAGTGTCTGTATTTCCTGTATTTCTCGAACCAGCTAAGAAAGCAGCATTGACCAATGTTTGCTAGGGACAATGTTTGTCCTTAGCATGTTTTGCACTTTACCTGCCTACATTGTGCAACACAACCTGCTCTCGGAATACCCTTCATTTGCTTCACTAGCACTGAAATCATAAACCCCTTTAAGATACATGTGGAAACATGGAAGAAAAGTTGCTTCACTACTCAAAAATTGTTTGTTCTTTATCAGGTCTGTGTCCTTGAATCTTGCTGGGTTTCTGTGCTATGTGGCTCAGAGCAAGGTCAGAAAATAGTTTACAAATTATGATGGTTATATAAAATATTCTGTTAGGAAATCATAAACAAGCATAGTAGAAATATATGTATATTTAAATTTCTAATTTAGCTTGCTCCATCTTATTAATATGCTGATGAAAATCCAGAAAAGGAAACTTTATAATTTATCAAAATTACTTGCAGTTTTCCTCAGGAGTCTAACACAAGAAAAATTCTGTCTCCCTCCAGGTTTCCCAGGCCATAAGTCAGCATGGGAAACCCACTAATGCAGCCAAACCTGATCTTCTTCTCACATTTGCCTAACCTGTGTTTTCTTCCAGGTGCAGTTGAAGTGCTAAAGTTGTTCTCACCGCAGATGCAAAGGCCCAGGTTCTGCCAGTGACCTTTTCTAGGGCTCATTTAGAACCCAGGTAATGGCCCGTCTCATGTTCTCTGTTTGGCTTTGGTGGGGTTTTTCCAAAAAACAAATTAGAAAACCTCTGCCAGAAGGTTATTAAAAGCATTACATCAAGCTCTCAAAAGCTAAGAAACTTGAAATTTAACAAAAAACTTTAAACAAAGGTTACTCGTGCAAATTTAAAACAGCCCTCTCTGTCAAGGTAGGTACAAATGGGTACTGCTTATTTATTTTTCACAAGACTGGTGCCTTTTCTAGGGCACTCAATAAACAATGGTGCAGGCACAGATGCCTAGTCAGGCATCTGTGGGCACACCATGGAGGACAAAGGACTCTACGTCAGCTGTTGAGGTAAGTATGAATGTGCAGGGCACAGTGCAGAGTGCCTGTGGAGGTGATCCAGTAGCACCTCAAACTAATACGGATACTGCTTATGCTCCCCCTCTAGTCTCAAAGCTCAGCTGTCTTGGCTGTTAGCCTTGCTGCAACATCAGGATACTGGCCTGACACCACAAGGATGATGTGACCACATCTTACTTGTTTGAACTGGTGTGCAGGCTCAAAGAGCTTTCCTGAAAGTCTCCATTAAATAAAACCAACTCTCAGTTGGGAATAACTCTAAAATGCTTGGCAAGGCATTTCAGTGATGTTCCTCATCTCGAGGCCTCTGTACTCACAAGACTGGTGTAGAGCAGCTTTTTCCTTCACTGAAAGGTTGTTGTTCTATTGGAGACAACTGTTATTTAGGATCTATAAACTTACCCTGGAGTATTCTGTAAGATATTTGAGTATGTGCTTCTGTAGCTGTCTCCTCCACACACATTACAGACGTACCATTGACTTTTGCCTTTGCTGCTACAGCTCTGAGGTTCTGCTTCAGTCATTATCACTGGTAAGTCCTCGGTCTGTAACGAGAATGATGGTGCATATTATATTCCAGGTGAATTTGTTTTGGCTTATCTTCAGTGACATTTCCAATTTAACATTTACACAGCCATTCTGTGGAAACATCAGGTATTTCAAACACGTATTGAGAAACTTGCTTTGTTCTGCTCTAGGTTTGGTGTTCTAAAACGTGTGAAAGTGTTTCTACAAATTAAAAAAGTGCCCTCAAGTATTTTCCTCACATTTTAAGTATGTTTGCCTCTTGAAGAAAATCATATGCAAATTCACATCATATGACATGTTCTTTGTATTTCCTGTAAGTAAGAAGATGAATCTCAAGTTACATGCTCTATAAATTAGACCATTTAATAAGCCTTTCTTAATTCATATTGGAGCTGCTAGGTAAGTTGAACATCTTTTAATAGATTTTTGCTTAAATTACATTGAATCTATTAATCTATTACAAATTTTTCCATTTCTGATTTATGTCTCAACATTTTTATTATCACTTTCACCTATTTTTATAGACCATGCCACTTGCTGTGAAGATATGTTAAAAATGGATGCTGCAATGGAAGAATGAGCATTAACAATTGTTTTGTTCTTAAACCAATCAATAAAGACAGCTTGACCCAGTTTGTCCTAAACCAGCCTTCTCTTGCTAAAGCAACCATGTGTCTATTGCTCTCCTGTAAAATTAAAATTGAAACTATAGCTTTTTCCATGGGGCTAAATGGTATATAATGGTATCTGTTGTTTTGGGTTTTTGCTCTGCGGACTTTTGTAGTATAGCCGACTGTCTTTTGGAAAAATATTTTAATGGTTTGAAACAAGCTAACTGCTAACTTTGTAACTACATTAATGGCATTCATGTCACTGTGAGCAAAGCTTAACACAGAAAACTTCACACCCAGACAGCAAAATTCTGAAACATCTTTCCTTTTTTTTTTTTTTTTTTTTTTTAATGCAGGACTCTACACTGGAGAGAAAACCTGTCTGTTTTACCTTTGGCTTTAAATGATGCTGTCTCCACAGTTGTTCCACAAAATCTTAGGAGTAGCTTTTTTCCTGCTCCCCTTATGTGCTCAAGGTAAACCTGCAGGATTTTTTTCAAATATTCTCAAGTATTTGACTGAAGATGGAAGGGATGAAGGATTTATACCAGGTACGTATTTTTATCTGTTGTGCTTCATTTTTACGCCTTGTAAACTCAGTGCTATCTTGCATAATCTGATGTGGGTTCTACTTGAGAGAAAATAATCATATCTTTATTAATTCTTTGTATGAAAGAAGATGTCTAAATCTCTCCTATTTAATGATGCAGTGGTTCAATTCACAAAGAAAAGGTTATAATTTTCCACAGCAGAAGGAACTTGCTGCTGAGTGCTAAGCTGGAGTTGCAAGCAAGGGTTTGAACAGCTTATAGAATTCTGTCAAGGATTCAGTCCCTAGAAACAGTTAAAAATCAGCTAAACCTACTGCACAAGTGCCAGTGTTTTGCGTGGAATGGCTCAATCGCTTAGAGGGAAGACTAATTCAGTTTACCAGTTCCAGTTTTCCAGAAACATCACTGCTCTGGAGGTAATTTCCAGGAACGTATCCCCTATCATTACAGAGATCAACGTACAAAGATATCCCCTGTTTAAAACACAGCAGTAAACTAAACCATGTCAAACATTTCAAAAGTTCATATTCATTTTTCGTGATTAACCCGTGCTTTATCTTGAAAGCCAAGACTCAGACTGTAACACAAAGTACATAATAGCTGCTTTTGTTCATAGCTTTCATACCAGTGGCTGACAATGAAATGGGAGACATTAATCATCGATTGGAACGTCGTATTTCCAGACTGGAAGGAGGTATTTTATCTGCCCTTACTTTCTGCTGTAACTGGATTAGTGGGGATAGAAAAGATGAGCAAAAATGGCTTCTTAGGAAAAAGGCAGTATTTTCTGCAGTTTTGTTGCATTCTATTTATATCCTGTTTATCATGCATGATAACTCTCAAGTGGGGGGATAGGGAATTAGATTTTCGTAGTTAGCAGGAGATGCCTGGGTAACAGTTCTGAAGTAGGAGTGCAAGCAAGTCAAGAATGAACCAGATTAAAACCCCTGCCTATGCTGAACTGCTCCATGGGCATCTCATGCTCCCAACAGACAAATAAACTGAACACTGAAAACATGGAAAAACAAGCACGATTAGATCACACTCACTCAAGCACATAACACTAAATGTCAAGGACATCTGTATACTGCAAACCATCTCAGAGTCTTAGAGAGAGTCTCAAAGAAAGTCATATACTTCTTCCAAATGTAGAATTCCTCACTTCCTTCCCTATTTCTCCAACCTGTTTTATGTGTCTCCTGTTTCACTGCCTCTATTTATGTGCTTCTTCCCTTTTTCCCCCTCCTCATTTTCAGATTTCTTCTGGCTTTTGTGGGTTATATTTTTTCCTTCCTTTTTTTTTAGCTTTGATTTCAAGTTCTCATTTCCTTTACCTTTTCCTGAGTTTAATCTAAAATTATGAAGGAAAATAGAAGGAGTTAAAATGGGCAGTGACCACAAAAAAAATGCATAAAAGTTTAACAGCTTTCACCTCATCTTGCAGTCCTTCGCTTGGAAAAGAGGATAACAGAATCTGGAGGAAAAATATTTGCTACTAACGGGAAAAAAGCTGATTTCAATACTACACTGCAAAAATGCAAAGAGGCTGGAGGGTCTATTGCTGCTCCGAGGAACCCAGGCGAGAATGATGCCATTCAGTACTTTGTGAAAACTTTTAATACCTACGCCTATCTAGGGGTAAAGGAATCTCTTATTCCAGGCAAATTCCAGTTCCTGGATGGTACAGAGCTAGGCTATACTAACTGGCATTTAAATGAACCTTCTGGCAAAGGGGAAGAGGGATGTGTGGAGATGTACACTGATGGCACTTGGAACGACAAAAGGTGCAATCAGAATCGCCTTATTGTCTGCCAGTTTTAGTGCTTCCCTTGCTGCTCTCTGGCAGGCTTTCTGGAATATGCTTCTCTCTTGGTTGTCTCTTCATCTGTAGCTAGTGAACTCATATAATGCAGCATCAAAAAATAAAATCCACTCTTTCCCAGCCTGATTTATCTTTTAAACAAATGCCAACAATAAAGAGGAAGTTGTTTATAACAAAACCAGTGGCCATTTTGCCTGTTTTGTTATTCATTGCCCACTGAGTCTCTTAATACTAATGCCTGTGGGTTTCTACTGCTATTAGCCTGCTAATTTATTACAAGATCAAAAAGTAGATTTCTTGGGCACCTACCTAAAGTGACTTGCAGCCATAAGATTTTCCAGCACCCCTTGATCCATGAGCCTCAAAGTTGTGTGTATTTTGATCCCTTTCTCTAAGTTTCCCTTACCAAAATTACCCAAAACTACCCATACAGACACTTCTGCTGCCACTGCTGTTGCTCAGCCTGTGTTTCCTTGGCCACCCTCACCCACAACAGGTCCCTTGAAGGAAGACATGAGCACTGCTGAGAGAGTGACACAAAGCCATGAGCACACAGGGGACTCATCCAGCTTAGATTTCCCATGGGAAACTCTGGAGTCAGCAGGTCTTTAACCTTCCTGTACCTCAAAAGTGGTGGCCAGAAGCCACCAGTCCTGAGCCCCTTCAGCAATTCCTAATCCCTTTCTGACTCAAAGGAGTAGCAGCACAAGAAACCCAAGGTTCCCTACCACATGGGATGTGCATGGGAGGGAACACACAGGAGCTAACAGGAGTTACTATATTGTTTAGGTCAGTAGAGCTGTGACAAAGCCAAATTTTTTAAGCTAGATTGTTGCAAGATTCAGAAACAACTAATATTGGGCACCATGGAGCTGTTTTTGTCAGACCCCCACTGAGATCCCCACAGGGCTAAGCTTGGTGGATGCCTACCCTTCTGAAGCAGCCGATACCCTGCACTCGTTGCAGAAGCTGCTCAGAGCCTGCACTTTCCAGCTCAGGCTAAAGGCTCTGCATAAGCTCCATGCCATGGCACAAAGGCTGGTTGAGTGTCTGGGCATGCCCCTATACACATAAATCCAAATGCCTGGCCATCAGTCACACTCACTCGCACTGTGCTAGTTCCAACTTGGTCATGGACAGCTGAGCTAGGAAATATTCCCCTCTGTGTGACATGGAGACAGAACAGTCAAAGTGTGAAGGTAACTCGGGAGGGAAGGCGTGCTCACAGCTGGTGTGAACCCAGGGGCCAGCAAAGGGGCTGCTTGGAGCCTGGTAGCTCTGCACATCACTGTAATTCCAGAGCAGCAACTTGCCATGCACAACATTGCAGCACTGGCTGAAGTTCAATTACTGAATTATTTTGAGCACAAGGTCTCACCACCTGCTCTGTGACAAGGCAGGGCCCTTCCTGGCCACAATTCAGCCCTGTGTTTGATGTCAGGGCCTGCAAATCATTCTTGCTGTTATTCTCTGCAAGCTAAGCAATTTATCTTGCAGATATTTACTTAGGATGATTAATGCAGCAGGGCTAACTTCAAACCAAGGCACCTTTCTGCTTGAACAATTTGGTGCCTGCAGGTGGTCTACCTCCACAGGTTACTTAATTATTCACTCCAGCAGTATTCAAATCCTTCATCACAATGCATACTAAATAGGACCACTTTTCCAAGAGCTGTAAAGTTATCTCAACATATGCAAAGATAGAACTTATGTGAGCAAAGTTCTCAGTTTATCCCTGCATGTGTTTAGTATGTAAGGAGATCTGCAAGATGTCTCTGGACAACGTAGCCAAAATATAAACTACTGAACCCCATGTCATCTGAGGTCTAGGTAGGCTGCTGTATTAATCCAGCTGAAAGGTTCAGAGAAGGCAAGTGAGGACTCAGGAGTCCATAGGCACTGTGTCACTTTCAAACTCTATTCTCAGTCACAAATATTTTACAGCTCACCTGTACCTGCCTGCACCCACCAGCTCACCTGCCCACGTCCTCAGCCTTGCGTGACTCCTGTTGTGAAACCAACTCTGCCACGAGCACAAGGAAACAGGATCGTGAGCATCGCCTCGTACAGTAGTTTTCCACTCATCATATTCCAGTAAAGCTTAGGAAGTTCACAATGATTAACATCAGCCTGAGAATGAAGTTGGACACACACCCCACCGCCACCAAACATCTAAAGCCAAGGTAAGTTTTTTTTTTTGTTTTATCCTGCTTATCTCCAGAGAGTTACAGAGTTATCTCATAATTAGAGATATTTGCAGGTGTCTGAAAAAGTGGCTGCCTTCACCATTAATCTAATGAATTTGTGCCTTGGAACAAATGTGCCACCACCACCCCAACTTTGGCCATTTCCCCTGTGGACTCCCAGGGAAGAGGGTAAAGGACTTTGTGTGTTACTGCACAGCTACAGATGCTAACCCTGTTCAGACACTGTAGCTACTTGCGGTTCTAGGTGAGGACATAAAAACCTCAAAGCAAATATTTGTTACTCTGCCTGACACTGCCACCTCCAGCAACCCTTCTGACAGCAGACATGAGTGGAAACAGCAGTCTTGGCCTGAAAAACAGATTGGTTCAAGATTTGGGCACTGAATTTATTTCCTAAATCTGAATGAGAGGGAAGTACAGCATCCTCTGATTTGTAGAAAGACTCAGACTGCAGTTTGGCCTTCACACCTTCCCTTGTCAACAGACAAGGGCCAGATGCAGTACCGTGTTCAGGAAGGAGGGCCAGTTCTCAGGGACTGTGTAATGTCATCTCCACAACAGCATGGACCAGAGCCAGAGCTGGCTTAGCAAAGCCTCTGAAAAGGTTTCTAAGTGCTCTTTACTCTGTACAATAGATACTGCAGCAGCCTGAGCTTAACTGATTTTTCAGATATTTAAATAAATCTAAATAAAGCTAAGCTTGTAAGTAGCAAAATGGGTTGTAGAACATGCATAGTTGGAAGAGATTTGGGTGTATGGACCCTTGAATTTGCAGTGATCTTCATCTCTGAAGGCTGCATGTGCTATTCATAATAATAATAATAATAATAATAATCATAATCAGTCAGAATGTGAGTTAATCAGAGTTACATGCTTCTGAGTATATAAAATGATTTACAAGGAAAGCCCAAGTGGTCTCCTGGCAAAAAAAAATGAGCCATCAATTTTCACTACAAGTGAGTGTCTCCTAAAGCAGCTTCTGCATGCGTGAACAGCCAGCTATTGTTTTGCTGATCAGTTCTTTGGAAACGATTGTGCCACTTTAAGAACACCAAGTGGGAGGCAATACAAGCACCACTGAACAAACAAGTACCTGTGTACACTGCTGTGCTCACCTGAGCCTCAGACGGCTGAGGGGACGCTGCCCTCACCCTCCCTTGCTCGTTCTGCAGACTGAACACCTCTAACACACGCTCTTGCTGCCTGACAGTGGAGGATGGACACCCAAACGAAGCAACGCGATTTTCTGCGCAAGACTTGCAAGACACCTTGAGGACATCGAGAAGGTAAGAGTAGACAGCAAAGATCTGAATACCTACAGGGCCACACAAGTTTTAGAGAAAGCCAGAACTTATTTCAGGTAGTCAAGTTGAGAAAGGCGAAAAAATTCAACACAAATTCAACTGCTTCGCAGCCTTCCTGCAAAAATAAAGGGATATTTAAATTATTTCTCATTTGGTTAAAAGGTTGTCAGCAGGGAAGATATGAAGAAGAAATATAGAGTTGCTATTCATACAATTTAAGTAAGTTCACTAATATCAAAATAGTTTGCTAAATGGTTAGAATTATAACTGCAAGTGAATTGCATAGGGCAATCCTTTTTTCTCCTTTTAAACTTAGCAGACGTTCAGTTTGCATAAGCTCATTCAAACGTGTTAAAAGTCTAAATATTTCAGAACAGGAAATGTCTGTTTGACTCAGATGTAGGCAACTCATCTCTGCTATGCATTCAGTAATCAGGAAAATAATAGACATACATCAGAATGTGTTGAGATAACACAAAGCCATCTTATTAGACAAAACACAAAAGCCAAAATCTTTGTGTCCAGAAAAGTGTGATTGATGATTCCTTTAAATAACAGCTGAGAAAATTCTCTTGCATTCTCACTTTTATTGTAATCACCTGCTTCCTTTGTAAGTGAGGTGAAACTAAAGGCATGATCAGCATATGCCCAACAGTGTGCTATGCTACTTTTACCTTATTAAATATTCTGTCTTCATCATAACTTCCAAAATCTTCTCCCAGGTTTCACATATTTGATTTCTGCACGCATATTTCATATTTTTTTCTAGTATTTTAAGCTAGATTTTTGTCCTGCAGTGACTTTACTCACAGGCAGCTAAATATACACAGATTTTACTTAATCAGACTAAATTGCAGCATGCTTTATAAAGGCTGAAATCTTGTATAAATGAATACTGAACTACTTACAATTAGCACTGAATTCAGTTGTTATTTGTAGAGGGAGATATTTATAACAAACAATTTCCATGAAATTTCTTTTAATATTTTAATGATTCTGAGCATTTTCATACACTCTTGGTTTGAAAGGTTTAGCCCTCTAGAGATCAAAGCAGCATCATTAGATCTTTCTAAGGTTTTACATAGTTGAAATGCAGCCTTTTCTCTTAGGTACCAAACTCATTAATTTGATTTCTGCTTCTTATAGGAGTTTTAAGTGACACTTTTAACCTGCAGTATAGTTATCTCTTGATCATCACCCTCATTTCAAGTCCATGATTGTGCCGCACATCCACGTCTCAAAATTTTTCATGTTCCTACCATTTCCTACCTCTGCTTGTAACACAAGAAATGGAAGAGGAACTCACCTTTCTGCAGGTGCTCATGATTACAAGGCACACTAAGGACATTGCAGCAGCAGTGACCTCCCTCCTCAGAAAACAAATCATGTGTAATTATCTCTAACTATTAATAGGAAGTTGGCAGTTAAGTTCGAGAACAAGTACACAGTAGTGCTTGTTTTCCCCCACTTGAAGGCTAAATATTTAAATTACTGACTGCGTGGAAAATGAAGCAGAACAAGTCATCACTGTTGCTGGCTTATCCCTCTTGACTTGCTTTTCCATTAAAATAATTATATGCCTGGGAGAAGAATGTTCACACTTCTGCAAAACAACAAGTGTTCCGCAGCTCCAGTTGTGCTAAAGCACCTGGGAGTTCATCTTTGTATCTCACTGAGCAGCTCTCATATGCAGATAATAAAAACCCTCCCCACATAAAGAGCTATAAGCCCTGTTTGTAGAAACTGGAATTTCAATAGTAATTATCTGGTTTTATTTAATATACTTAATTAGCATAATGTAGTGGAATTGGTGACTTGCTAAAATATCAAAGATTGTAGAATCAGTTGAAGAGAAAGGGAAAGGGAAAGGGAAGAAAAGAAAAGAAAAGAAAAGAAAAGAAAAGAAAAGAAAAGAAAAGAAAAGAAAAGAAAAGAAAAGAAAAGAAAAGAAAAGAGAAAAAAAAAGAAAAGGAAAAAAGAAAAGAAAGAAAAGAAAAGAAAAGAGAAAAGAAAAGAAAAAGGAAAGGAAAAGGTAAAGGAGAAAGAAAAGGTAAAGGAAAAGGAAAAAGAAAATATAAAGGAAAAGGAAAAGGAAAAGATAAAGGAGAAAGAAAAGGTAAAGGAAAAGGAAAAAGAAAAGATAAAGAAAAGGTAAAGGAAAAAGAAAAGATAAAGGAAAAAGAAAAGGTAAAAGAAAAGGTAAAGGAAAGGAAAAACAGAAAATGAAAAGGACAGAAAAAAGGAAAATGAAAAAGGAAAGCAGAAGGAAAAAGGAAAGGAAAAGGGAAAAGGAAAAAGGGAAAATGAAAAGGAAAAAGGAAAAGGAACGAGCTGTCTCGGACCAGCAGCCAAGGAAAGGGAGTCATTTCCAAGGCCAGAAGGAAAACCCTCAGGGAGGTCAAGTGCCCCGGCTGGCTAAATCAAATACATGTACACAGATCATGAGTCCCACTTGGAAGAAAATAATGCAGTGTCCCTCTTTGCTTTACAGCCTCGGACTCTTGAAATGGAGGAAACAACGGTGGCAACAATCCTGGCCCCATGGCAAATACTGCTGGTCATCCTCGCCGCGGTGCTGACGATGAGTGTCCTCATGCTTCTGCCCCCGGCTGCCGTGGTGGTCTGGAGGATGAAGCGTGTGCCGCAGATCTCGCTGCACGGCTCGGTGTGAGCCAGCCCTGGGAACAGCAGCAACATCACCGATCCCTGCAGGGGACGGGTCGGAATGACCACATCTCTCAGGATCACTCTTTCTACCTAAGAGCCACCCAAAAGCAGTGGATTTACCAGTCTATGGCTGCTTAGCTGCTGTGAGTGGAGAATGTGTGTAATTTTGTCGACCATGAACTACAGTTCTCTGCACTTTGCCTTTCATTTTTTGGCTCTATTTTAATTACTGTTATTGGCTCAGTTCCTAGACTGAGTTCTTCTCTTGTGTTATAATGACCTGAAAGAGAAGCCAGCATAATACAGCACTGTATTCCCTTAATTAATATCAGGAAAGCCTCCCTCTTTATAGTAATACTATAAATGTTACCAAAGCCTTCTGGCTGAGATGACTGACAGTTATGCAAGTGGACTTATCAAAAGCATGCAGGATACTCTGGGGAGGTGATACTTTAGTCTGGTTGTATTACAGAACATAAAAAATTAATCAGAGAATGGTGCAATAAATAAACATCTCTGTGTTTCTTTTGTCTGATTTGAAAACTTACTGGCCTAAGATGTTCTTAATGTCTTTCCTTCTATATGAATTTTCTTCTCTCTGCAACATCCAAGTGCCAGAACACAACACCCCCCAACCTGGAGCCTGAGCGTGATGATGATGATGAGTCTGAGCCCAATGCTCAGACATGCCTGGCCAGACACCAACACGAAGTTAATGCAAACATACAGCAACTGTTTGCCTTAAATAAATTATGCAAATTTACTCTGGGAAAGAATGTTATTAAGTTTACTTTAGTTTTTAAGTGTCTCATAGAGGCTTATTGGGTCAACTTCCCTTTCTCGTATATAAATAATAACTTGGATTGAGGGCATAGAACAAAACTGTTTCTCTGCAAGTTTTTGAAAAAAAAAAAAAAAAAACACAACCAAACAAAACCACCAAAAAACCAAACACAAAACCCGAAACAAACAGCAGCCCAATCTCCAGCTTAATATCAAATTTGTGACCCATCATATTAAAGCTTTCCAGCCTAATTCTTCCACATTATGTGATGCTCATTATCAGGATTTCTGACACACAGAATTAATTTAATAAATTAATTAATTAAAACAGATTTAATAGTTTACAAGAGTAATGGGTTTGATTTCCTTATGATTATTAATTTTCTTTTTTTGATTGGTTTAGAAAGTCACGAGAATAGATCAATATAATTGAGAGAAAAAATGTTTTTTACCACCAGTAGAAAAATAGATATTTTAGTTGAGCATCAGCTGTTAATGAACTGGCTGAAAAGACTCAAACCCATTATAATTTCATTTGATAGAGATCATTTGTTTGACAGAAATGAACAAACCCGCCAGTGATTCAAAAGCCACTGCTTTCCTTTAAGACTGCAGTACTTTTGTCTCCAACACAATGACTTAAGTTACTGCTGCATGGTTTATAAGCAGCCAAAGCAGCCAAATCACCCCTTTGCTGGTGTAATTGTCTGTTCTATTCATTGTCATATGACTGTCTGCTTCTGGGCCCTGATGCTTCTGCTTCTGATGTTTTCTTTTGCTTGTAATGACTCGATTCTGAGTCTGAAATATAAGCATGTAAGTATATGTATCTGAATCATTTATCCAATTAATGATGTAAAGGTCAATCATACATCATGTACCACAAAACTATGCTGTCTGTGTCTGAGAGACTGACAGGAATAGGAAAAAGGTGAAGAAGGGAAACACAAACAGATGAGCTGTCTGTCTTCAGATCTACAGCTTCAGTGTTTGGTCAACAGAAGAAAATTAAAATACAACTCCAAGCACAGATTCCACTGAAAACCAAGTAATAACTAAGCTTCTTGTTTACATTTCATAATAATTCACAGGTACATCTGTTTGGTAGCTACAGCTCCACAAATAAACTGGATTACCAGGGCTAAGTTGCCTTTGGTCTTCACTTGCCCTAAGTACCAGGTGGACAACAGACAGGTTTTCTGCTGGTTTTCTAAACCCCAGTCAAGCAGGTGCATGAATAAAGAATTACATCCCTACAGCCAGTAACTGTTATGACTTTCATTGTTTTAATGTTCATCAGAGCAACAATAATGATTAATTGGCAACTATAAAAACAAGCAGAAGTGTGTCCTTTTCTCATCAAATATGACCCCTGACAGAGAACGATTTCTGATAACAATTAGTGTGTTTGACTAATGACTGCATCCATTAAGCAACTGTAATCCTTATTTAATTCCAGCTAGACAAATTTAAGCAATAAAAGTGAACTTCTTTCTTTGAAACACTTCTACTATGATCTATGTGATTAGATTTAGCCTATATCTCTGAAAGCCAAAGCTAAGATCATATCATGACTGTGGTCTCTAGTCCTTTAACTAAAGAAAAGCTGTATGCTTACATGTCTTAGAAATGATTGCACTGCTTTGCTTCTCTTGTCAAAATACCCATGTCAGACTGCAGGCAGCTGGCTGGTCTGTGGCACAAGCTTTTTGGTGCTAGTAACCACAGATGATACAATCAGCCTCCTCATCCCGTTTGGAGCTGTCGATGCCTTGCTCAGCAAGCTCTTTGAGGAAGATGTTTAGCTGCTCTCTCTGAGTTTCAGGGAAGGCTAGTGTGTGCAGACAGGTGCTGTTGCTGGGGAAATAGGCAGATTTAGCTCCACTGATGGCCATCTCAGAGGCTGGAAAGATAATGAACAAGACAAAAATAATTAAAAAAAAAAAAAAAAGGCAGCTGAATTACTTAGCTTAGACTTGTCCTGATCTTTAAACAAGTGCTGGAATTCCCATTTTCTATACTAGTCTTCAACTTGGAATAAATGATGATTGCATTTGGTAACCCTTTGAAAAAACAACTGCTCTAGCAACAAGGCACTGTCAACAGTAAAATATTTTTCCACTAACCATAGGAAAGATAGGGTAGCCCATTCGTGTATCTATATGCACATTTATTTATAAATTAAGGCAATAACAACAGAGTCAGACAGCCAGGGTCACAGATTGCTCAACGGACACAATGGGAGCAGTCTTAAAACCCTTGGGCTGCTGCATGAAGACGCTGGCTGGGGTTTACTGTGTGTACACACAGGGAATAGTACAGGTGGGTGCCAATTTTACTGAGATTCTTCAAGTACTGTTGCAAGATAAACAGTTTCATGTTCTACTGCTGTCTGTCCAGTGGGTCACACAGTCCTTGTGCAACAGGGGGTTTGTTTTAAGGTGATACCAATTTCCTGTTAAAAAAATAAAACATGCATTTTCCCCCAAAAATTTCATATGTGTCATATTTGCTATCCCAACCTGAAATGGCAGTGCTCAGCCCTTTGTGGTAGTTTTAAAGCTAAGTGAGTTCTCATTCAGCAATTTGCCAGCCCTGAACTAACTCTCAAAATGTCACACATGCCAAGGTTGTCACACATGATAAGAAAGAAAACCTTTTCTTTCCTCCTTATTTTTAAACAAGAGACAGACAGACAGAGCCTCCTGTCCTTGGTGAACAGATATGTCTGAGAAATACTTACGGTTGCAAACAGCCAGTGCCTTTCCCCCAACAAGCTGTGTGGTCCAGGAAAACCCAGTGGCATTGCCACATACTTCATACAGTCTGCTGCTTCTGAGGAACTGGAAGTCATAACCCTTGGGAAACAATGATGGGGAGCAAATAAACAAACAGGGTCTTAGGATATGTCATGGTAACCGTACGATGAAGAAACATTCAGCCAGTGAAGATCAATACAAACACTACAACCCCTCCCTCTTAGGAATACAAAAAGGTATAGCAAGGAATAACATTACACAATAAACAGCTGTAAATTAATGCATGGATGCAGCAATATAGCAGCAGTAAGCCATGAATGTTACCTTGTTGCACATGGGTTTGCAGTACTGAGCGCTGTCGATGGTGACACACACGAGCCCACCATTTCTCGGGGCCAGTGGGAGAGGGCATGGAGGTAGCTGCTTGCAAACTTTTGAGTAGATTAAAAACCAAAACCAAACCAAAACAAACAAACAAACAAAACCCCACAAAACAACAAAAACAACCAACCAACCAAACAAACAAAAAACAACAAGAAAACGATGTATCAAAGTGATAATAAGTCTGCCCTTCCCAAGCAACCTCGTTGACCTGGGCATGGTTGATAACTGACCCCACTAGCTGACTTTGTCAAAGTAAGCATTTTTGCTTGTTTGAAGACTTTTTTTTCCCCTTTTATTTTTTTGACAACACCTGATATTCCCATCACTTTCCCTCCACAACAGTGTCAGCCCCAGTTACACTTCAGAAGTGGCTCCAAGGGGCATTTGCGTTCACCGCACTGACATTCAGTACTGTGATGGCCAAAACTATCCACATATTTCTTGGAAAAATATGACTGGCAGACACCAAGGAGGCTCTGGCTGGAGGGCAGAGAAGGCCCTGCTGCTCCTGTGACTCTGCACTGCTGCTCAGCACCAGAGCTGCAGGAACAGAGGGACTGCTCATGTTTGTGCTGCTGTGCCTCCCCAGTCCCTGCCAGGTTAAACACCCCGTTGCTAATTTCCCCCAAAGAAATTCAGACATTTGGTTTACTATGACTGCAGGGAGAAAAAATTTTCTTAGTGCTTCTCCACTGCCACTTAACATCCAGCAAAGGGAAGCATCGGTTCAGGAGGGGACTCACATTTCTCTTGAACAGGGCGCAGGAGATCAAGTGTTTCTTGCAGTGTCCAGACAAGGGAATTGATTGAAGCTTTCTCACCCTTGGCAATCATTTCAGGAAGGCATTTTGAATATTTCTATGGAGATAAGGGACAAAAAGCCTAAGTTGAAGATGAAAAACCTTGAAGCTTTGGAGTTAATTAAAGTGGTCACATAATTTTCCTTTTCTTTTTTTTTCTTAATGTAAAACAAGGACCATCTGGAAAATTGTATAGTTTTAAGTTATCTCCCCACAATATTTTGGAAGAAATCTGGCAGCTTTTTTTTAAAACTGTGAATAGACAGGCTTTTTCCATCATATTCAGCTCAAGAAGAGGGCTGGTATGGGTTTGGTGGTTTTCTTCCTATATATGAAAAGGTGCCTTTGTAAACCACTTATGTACCTTGTTTCTATATAAAACACTGGTTTGTTATGCTTATCTTCTGAATGCTGGCCCCTCACAGACTCTGTATGTTTGTGTGCGTAAAAATAAATTCTATTAGTGAATGTGTGGAAACAAAGAAGTTAATGAATTCTTAGCTAGCTATTGTTATTTATACTATATTTATATTATGTTGTTTATGTTAAAGCCACTTTATATATCCAGAGCAAAGCAAAACTGGAAAATAAATCCACATGGACATTTTTTGGTCTAGCAGTAGCAGGACCGAAGACATGGCAAGGCAAATGACACTGATATTTTTCTGCTGCCACGTGTCCTCCCCTCCCTCCCCAGCACGTACTTTGCACGTGTCCAAAGTAGGACACGAGTTGTGCTTGCCCAGCCAGCACAGGCAGAGGTGGCAGGAGCCCACCAGCACAGGAGGGGGATGCAGAGGAGGCCCTGGGGTGCCCAGTGCAGCCAAGGTCTTACCTCAAGAGACTCATTCACATCGCCTATGGTTGCACTTTTGCATTCACTTGGACTGGCCAAAGCTCTGATGTCAGTAAAATCTAAAATACAAGCAGAAGCAGGTACTTAGCAATGTAATAATCCTTCCTGACACATCAACAAACCCCAAATACCACATCACATAGTGCTTGTTTAGAGGAATTGTGCCACTAGTCTGCTGTCCTAGTCCTGCCTTGTATACCTGAGGTGATCAGGGCTCAAATGTGAATAAGCTGTACAAATATTGATTTCTTTGAAGCAATTAGCAATCTGAACACCATTTGTGGACACTTGGGGCTGGGTTTCCGAGCAGGGTCCTTCACTTCTGTAAGACAGTCACTAAAAATTATTAATAATACTAATATTTATGATATCAATTTATAATTTCTAATACTAATTATTAATAATACTGATTATTGCTAATCATATTCAAGAATGCAGATATCTTACCTGCAAGAAGCAGTGCTGAACTTAGGAAAACCAGTGTTTTCCAGAGTGGGTAGGAGCAGAACAACATTTTTTTCTGCAGGAGACCAGGGGCTAATTACTTGTTGCTTGTGGTGCCCAGGAGCAGAAGCACTGTAGTCAGGCACAAAGCTGCGTGTCTGTGGGTCACTGGTTGTTTACAGTGGGCCTGGCTCCAAGGCAGAGCTGTGATAAGGGATTAGGGGATGAACACGTTGCTCCACTTGCCAGGAAGCCCAAGGAGAGCTTGCCAGCACGGTTTAGAGAGGGCAAGGGGCGTTCTCGTTAGGGTACTGAGGCGGATCGGCTTCTCTGCTGCTGCCAGCTCCTGGGAAATTTTCAGATTAACTGGCTTACTGTAAACATGTTTTGTGTATGCACATTCTTGTGTGCTCTTGCTCTCTATCTACCTTCCCATCTGTCTACATTTTTCTGTCTCTCTCACACACATATTTTTATAGAAGACATAAGAATGTCTGACATACAGAGCTCCATCTCGTATCTTATGCTCCAATGACAACTGATTTGAACCAAGGGGGTATACCCTGTATTCTAGGGCATCCACAGCTTAGCTATTTTTTTCTTTTTTCATGGAGCCATGAAGTTCCTATGTGTATATCCACTTACAGGAAAAGCTGAATAACTAGCAGAATTGCCACAAAAATTCAATCATTTCTACCCTACACATTTACTAGCAGATTAATCCAATTATCCAGCTACTGCTAACATGATAGGGGTGTGCTGACCCCATCTGCAAAATCCAAGGTTCACAGTCACAGCTTTTCATCTGACAGCCCGTCACACCCCACCCCCACCACGCACACTGCCAAGCCTCCAGCCAACCCTGCCTGGCCACCAACCAGCTACCCACGCACAGCCCCCACCCACCCCTCCTCTCCAACAAACCTTTAATGGTTGTTACTGTCACTACCAGAGCAGAACTGTTCATTTTGTCTGCATGTGGGTTATTTTGTTGAGATGTGGACATTCTGCTTCTGTGTTGTGTTACACACCACATTTATTTATAAGGCACTTACTTTCTCAGGTTCTCTTTTTTTTTTTTTAAGTTTTTCATTCATTTGCTTCTTCTGGTTGTAGTGTGATATGACTAGGTGATCCTGAAGAAGTCAAGCCAACAGCAATGCATCCAGCACATTCCCAGAGAAGTGTCTTCTTATGCCATCTCAGGAACATGAGCATAATTAATAAAGCGGAGCAGCCTCTGGCTTGACCAGATAGACATTGTGTTTATGACATACTTGAAAGGAATAAAGGGCAGGTTTTTCTTTAGCATTCATCACAGTCAGGCAGTTCCCCCCACATCTATTTGGGATGCACTGTACAAAGACATTTACTTAAGAGATAAACACGGGGTGGCAGCATTTCTCCAGCGTAGAAGATTTAACAGAGTGCCGGGTAAACCACAAAGTCCTTCTTGGGGGCCATACACAGATAACACTTGCATTTCAGGATTAAGTTCTCCTTGTTGCCTACTGACAACAAAAACTGATCACAGAAGATCTCACAGCCTCCAAATTTAAACAAACGTGTGATTAATCCACAGTCCTTTCCAAAAAGTAGTTTGCCACTGTCTAGGAGAAAACAGCACGTGGGCACAGAAACGTCCTTGCCCTCAGCCTGGACTGATCCAGCCCACGTGCACAGCAGTAACCCTGACCTGCCAGGAGCAGAGGTTGTCACTGGCTCGATCAGGAGTAAGGGGGCACACCATCCAGCAGTACCCAAACCCCACAGCCAAGTACTAGCACAGGCAAGGATGTTGTTCTGCGTGCATGGGGCACACACAGCCAGCTAGGGCCAACCTCTTTGGCCAAATTTTAACCTCTTGCTATGTCTTATTTTGCAGTTATTTCTCTGTGCTTTACTTTATTCCCAAATTACATCCAACACAGAAAGCCATGCAATAAACCTAATGTTTGGGAGCTAAAAATTATGAAAGGATACTGAATAACACCAACTTAAGAGCCACAAATAAAAATACTTATTCACCAAGGTTCTATTAATCACAAGGATTAAAGAGTGATCACACATGTATTAAAAGACAAATTCATATCACAGTTCCAAAATAAAAAAAATTCAATTATGTTGGTAAACTAAAATCCTACAAGAGTATAAGAGGTTGAGCTGAGATGAACTATTACACTGCAACATTAAAAAACCCAAAAAAACAACAACATAGGAAAAGAGACCCCTTTACATTCAGGGTAGGAAAAAGCTTTTTATTCTATGATTGTTGTTTCATAGGAGAGCATTTATGTTTCAAAAACACAGGTAATTGAAACACAACAATAACAGCACACATACAGTGAAGCTGATTTAAATATTACATATAGGATAACATCTTTTATAAAAGAGGTCGAGATCGGGTTGGGTGATATTCAGCCTTCTCCCATCAAAGCAACCCCCAGCTGTATGCAATGCTAACTCCAGTAAGGAAATTGGACCCAGAATTTCCCATCATCTAATTAGAAGCAAGAGATCTGCTGATCCTTAGTCAGAGTTGGGAAAGCTGTCTTCACCTTTGCCCATCAAAGGTTTGAGGTTCAGCTATTGGTTTGAGTACCTGAGTCAAACTTGTCTTTATCAACAGAACCAACAGAGCAGCAGTTAAGAGTAGACTGTATTTTGTTGTCTTATGCTGATTAAAAAAAGAGACTCTGTCTCTTTTTTTATTATCTGTTTCATTATCTTGGATAATGAAAGACACTGAGGGTTAAAAAAATCAATTTCCAAGAAAATATCCTTTTCTTTCTTTCCATTTAAAATCTAAAATTCCTTTTGTTGAATGCAAAGCTGTTAAATTTGATTTTCAGAGGCACCCTCATCATTAGTGGACTTCCTTTCTATTTTTAAAAGGTGACTGCTAATGTCAAAAGACAAGTTTTTTAGGCACTTCCCATGGGAATTCCTTTCTTCCAAAGTGACCATAGCATGCAGTCTTCTGGTAAATGGGCTTTTTCAGATCCAAATCCCTGTGTATATAATAAAAAGAAGTGAAAATTTGTCATATTAAGATACTTCATGATAACTACTATTAAAATCCTGATGTTGAGAGCCATCTTAGTCGAACAAGCATATTCTGGAGATGCAAGCATACCAATGAACATGTCCAGTGGGGACAATAAAAGAGATAACAAAACTTAAATGTCAAGCACTTTAGGACTACAGACCTTGTTATTGAGAATTATTAATTGTAGGTGAAAACATGAAATAATTTTCAATTAATTTTGTAAAACAAAACATTTGTTTTCACAGTAAAATAATATAAAATTCTTGCAATACAAAAGTTGTTTTATTTAAATTCCATATACCATTGAAGGCCAAATGCTGAAAGTATATGCTGCATATGAAACTTAAAAAATATGTCTGTAATCTTAAAATATATGGCACATGGGGAGAACCATAAAAACTATCGACTGTAAATACTGACAAAATGACAGAATGAAAGTCCTCCTGTACTGCATGGAACAATCCCCTGCTAGTTCAAGAGGCTGCCTCTTACAGTGCAACAGCCAAAGGTTTTGCAAGAAGTCATTTCTAGGATGTGACCACCAAGATATTTTCCTTTCTGTGTGTTTCTATACCTGACAATGACTCCAGGCCGAAGATCAAAGTTTTTGTGTACAATGTCCAGCAGCTCTTTCTCTGTTTTTTTGGAAGTTCCATAAGTGAACAGTGAAATGGACAGTGGATGAGCAACCCCAATGGCATAAGAAACCTGTGTGAAAAAATGTACCATAATTAGCCAATAAACACTGCACCTCAGAGGACAACAGTATGCCGCAGAAGAAAGCATTCATTTATGAATCTCCTTATGCAAACAAAGGCCTCTTCTTCACTTATCACATTTGCACAATCTATATTTGTAGGAAAAAAAGAGAATACTTTGAAAATGCTGAGGTCTCTGGATAAATTTCTTCCCCATTACCCAGTCACCCCATTCTCATTTCCATAACAGTAAGTGTCAGAGGCTTGAGGGCTCGATAAAAGTCAGAAAAATGGCCCATAAAAAGAAAGTTAAATGAACAGTTCCAGCTCCAAGAAGCTGCTATTAGTGACATTACAGTGGTTTTGAACCAAGCACATCAAGTCTTCCTTTCTTCAACCCCAAACCATCACCAAGACCTCTTCTACTACAGTGCCTTGTACAATGCATATTCAATCTGAAAAGGAAGTATCTTTTTGAGAAGAGCAACATTCTTGGCAAACCCTACCTGGACCAGGACACGGCGGCAGAGCCCAGCTTTCACAAGAGACTTGGCCACCCAGCGGGCTGCGTACGCAGCCGACCGGTCCACCTTCGTGTAGTCCTTGCCCGAAAAGGCACCACCTCCGTGTGCTCCCCAGCCACCGTAAGTGTCCACTATGATCTTCCGCCCAGTAACACCGGCATCACCCTAAATCAGCAACAGAATTTGTCCATTTTACAACCCGTTCTGTGGTAAGTCTCAAACAAGGCTGTGCATTCCTTAAGGAGACTAGAACAACGTGTAAGTTAGGTCACCACACAGGGAATGCTGTGGGGTAGCTGAAGGAATGAACTTGTCTCACCAAGCTACAGCAGTGGCTATAATTGTTCTTTAAAGCCAGATTCACAAAACAAGCCATCCACGAATTTGTCAAGCAAAGAGGTTTACACACAGATAGCTAGAGCGTGAACTTCCTGTTTTAAAAGTGAATATTCCTGGCAATATGGAAACTTTGGTTTAGAAATTATGCACCTATGATACTCAAACCAATTACAGAATATTGCTAAAAAACTATGTGCCATGTAGGAACCACTGAGAGATTTCACACTGTTTTAAAAAAACTAAAACTCACATACAAAAACTCTCCAAAAAAACCCACAGCAAAAGAATCCAGGTTTTCATATCTTTTGGTCAAAATCTGAAGTTGTGTGAATATTAAATAGTAAACAAGATTTTTTTATTTACCATCAAAAGGTATTTCAGTTCTACCTTATACATCATTATATGGCTGCTGACACCCAGCAGATTCAGTTTAGTGTCAAGAGACCGTTATACAAATATGTACTAAAAACCACATTTCCAACTCCAAATTATTTATAGTCTAATTTAAACTGTACACAACAGCTATGGAGTACTAGGCAGTAATAGGTAACTGAGAAGGAAGGATTACTTCTTTCTAAGAACAGATACTTATAGATGAATATTCTAAATATTAAATAAGGAAGTGCAGATGTTTAGCTGCCTATACAACTATCCTGACTGCTCCTTACAAGAACTTTATCTTTTCATTTGATCTGGGTTAGCTGATCAAGAGCTGACTACTTGTCTGACCCCTGCAATCTACTAAATCCTTAAGCTTTTGGTGTGAATGGAAATGTGTTCAAATTTGAAATTCAGTAACCACCTGTGCAGGCAGATTTGAAATTTTTTGTCTCAAAACATCATGTCACTAAAATTCATCTGCTGGAATGTTTGCATGGCAAACACAAGTGGAGAGTCAAAGTTTTTCTTAGGAAGGCTATGCACATACACAGAAGAAAACCTTTGGCACTGTTTGTGTAATTCTGCTAGGGAAGGAGCAAGATGCAAATCCAAATTTCAGATAACTGAGGTTGCCCAAAGGAACCTGTCCTCAGGTTCTTCTGCTTGACTCATCCTTAATTTTTGATGGCACAGATAGTTGCAATGAGAACACCTTGTGTGCCCTCATGACTTGACAGCAGAACGGAGTGAGAGGGAGAGAAATAAATGGACATGTGAAAGGGTGCTTCAAAGATGCTGAACAAGCATAAAAGCATCTGTAAAGCATGTGAAAGTCATTATTGTGAAGAGCTGTAATGTCCTCACTGCACCAGAGGGTTTTGCTGTTGGGAAAACAGTGACAGTAGCAAAACTAATGATTTTGCCATAGCCAGAATTCAAGGCACCACTGCACTCAAACACATAAAGTGAAAATCCTGAGTAAAATGCATATGCCTTTCTTAGATGAACTGAGTTGGAGGTTAAGGCAGCTTTCTACAGCTAGCCTTGTTAAAAATGTAACTGAATAACACTTCTCTGAAAAGTAACCAGAAAGTTCAAGATGTTCAAGACAAGAAAAGAAATAGTCATTTTCTGGTTGCTGCAATGCTCTTGTAAATTGCACAAGTGATGATAGCAGTTGTAAGGTCACGGACACATAGGCTGATTGGCCCATACTAAGTAAACTTAGCCCAGGTTTAAAAAGCTGTAAACAGACACTTTGACGTGCCTCTGTTTGTATGTGCAAACATATGCAATAGACCTCTAGCTAGTACACATCTGAAAGATTTACATTTTTAATGGGTGCAGCTCACTGCACACATAAAAATTTTCATATATGTAGCCTGTTTTTGTGTGTAGCTATGATTGCTGCATTGGTTCATTCACTTCAAGTTACAGCTCAAGTTTGACTCTCCACTTATAGTCTAGGATGTCAGTGATACACAAAATTACAGTGCTACAACCAATTCAATTGCAGAAAAATACATTTTTTATAGGATCATTATTATAGTGATTAATCTCAACACCTTCCTACCTGTTGCATGGCACTAACATAAAAAAGACACAGCATCTTAGAAATAACTCTGGTAAATTCCAGTAAGTGAATGAATTTGAACAACAAAGGAAAAACAGTGTCTACTTGGATTTACTGTAAAATTGAACCTAATTTCAGGAATGAGCTTTGAAATTTTGCTATGGTAGTTCTGAAAGGATCTGAAGACTAAAACATTGGTAACGGTGAATTTGTTTGCAAAAACTAAATCTGAGAGAGTGGAAGTTCTGCCTGACTTCTGTGAGTGTAGGATCAAATTATAAATCCCAGCTCCTGCATTGCCCAAATAAAGTAAAAGGAACATTTATTTTCTCACCAGAAGAAGCCTATTAGGGCTGATTTTCAGGACAGATGAACACCTTCAGCTCTTACTGGTGTCAGGCAGAACAGTGAGAGCTATGCAGATCTGAAAATCAGGTTCACTGTAAGACAAGTAAACCTTCTCTTTGTCCATCTCTCTGTGAGAAATGCTTCCCATGAGAAAGGACTGCATGTCACATTCCAGTGCTGGTCTCAAGAGGGTTTGAGGAAACTTGGAGCTGGGCTGTACATTCCACATGCAGTGTAAGATTCAGCTCAACTTGCCTGCCTAGTCACAACACGTGTACAATGTAACCACGTCCTCAAAGGTTACTTTGGCATGAAATCCTGAGCCCTTCTCCCACATATAACTGCAGGAAAAACTTGCACTAAGCAGCTGTCGCCTTACACCTAAGGACAGATGTGCCAAAAAACTGAGCATTTAAGACACACGCACAGAGTGAAAGGCAAGCCCATAAGAGCACCAAAACAACACAAGACAAACCTGAGGCCCTCCAATAACAAAACGTCCACTAGGTTGAAGGTGATAAACAGTATTCTCATCCAAGTATTTTGCAGGGACAACATCTTGGATCACACGTTCCTTCAGGGTTCTGCGCATGTTCTCCAGCGAGATGGTTTCATCATGCTGCACGGATATCACAATGGTGTGCACGCGCACTGGGACCACTGCTCCGTTCTTCTGGATATACTGAACTGTGACCTGAATGGAACGGGGAGAATGAGGAAGAAAACATCAAAGTTGCTATAAAATGTATTGCTGGTATTCATCAAATGTCATGCACACTACTCCAAAAGTAAAACTGTAGCAAAATCTCAGTGGTGATAGACATTATACTGATCACTGTTCACATTGTTGCCAGGGTATGAGAAATGAAGCCTATTTTCTCACTTCATATTTTCTATGCTATGGAAGAAAAAAAAACCCAAACCAAACCAAACAAAAAATAACCCCACAAAACTCATCTGGTAGACCATCTGATTCTCTATGAAATCATCCAAAATGTGTCTTTTAGTTGGGATTTCCATCAAAACTCCCAAGCCTCAGAAATTTACATTCTCAGTGCATCTTGAAAATGTCAGCCCAAATCCCTAAATACAAATAAATCCTTTGGATGTCCTGCCAAGTTTTCAATGAGTACAAACCACTTAAGCCTGAGGGATTAAATGTCTCCTCACTGGTAGGTGGTTAAGGGCTCCGATACAAGTTAACCATTTTCCAACAGTCAAGCAGACAGTATCACAAGCAGTGGAAAAGCTTTATGTGTTACTTGTAGGTTATCCTGATACCTTAACACCTTTTCTTTCCAGAAATACTAAATGGTTTTGAAGACAGCAATTGATGTGCTCGGTTTTCAGCTATCTGGACAACCATAGCAGTATTTACCTGTGTCTTAGAGTCAGGTCTCAGCCAAGGAAGTTCTCCATTACGCCTCAGCTCTGCTAACCTGGCATTCAGTTTATGAGCTAGAATAATTGTTAGAGGCATACATTCTTCTGTCTCATCAGTTGCATAACCAAACATCAAACCCTAGAGGGGGAGAAAATGTACTTCAATCACTGTTAATGGCACCACAACCAAAGACAATGAGATTTCATCTGAAGCAAAGAGTAAACAGTACCCTCAGGTTTACTTTCTCCTGTTTTACATTACAGTGCAAGAAGCCTAAACTCAAATCAGGCTCCAGCATGTTACAGTGTAATGAGAAACAAACCATGTTCCTAGATTTTTCAACTGGAAGCCTGAAGGTTTAGATGTTGAACTGGAAACCTGGACAAAAATGGAGATGTTTCTGTGAAAAGAAAAAAAAAAAAAACAAAACAACAACCAAAACAAAACCAACAAAACCCAACAACAACAAAAACTCCAACTAGATTCTTTCACAGAAAAAAAAATAATCTGCTAGAGAAAAAGTTTAAGGACTATTTTGTCATAGCAAAAATGTTATCAGTAGCCTGAAAAGGTTGCAGAGGCTTTTGTGTATGAGTACAGACACAGACACTGCAGTTTGCATCTGAAATGACAGTAGAATGGGATGCGAGCACTCCATGAAGGACATTCCATTCACCAGTTTAAGGCACCTGCCTTAGGTTTTTTAATACCATATGCTTCTAGTCACAGCTTCTACCAGTATTCACTCATGTTCCCAGATTATAATTTGTTAAATAGAGTTAGAAGCATTTCCTTTTATGGACAAAGGGAGAAAGAATAGACAGGAATGTACTTGGATGGGAATGGGAAGGGAGGTCACCAAAGTGCCAAAGAAAGTCAGATATCTTTTCATCTTATGTAGTATTATGACTCCATGACAGTATAAACCCATTTTAATTTAGTCCTTAAGGGATTTTTTGAACAATATTAGTTTTCCTCCTGTACTCTGATACCTTAACTTACAGTTTTCCACAGCATTGTTATAAACTAGATATTACTTCTAATGGTAACTACTGTAAATGCTAAACTCACTCATACTGGCATCAGTCAGATTATGGAGTTTTTGTGTTGGTATCTCTCTCTTAGGAACATACCATAATTACCTACATGTGTTATTTAGCTCACAGAAATGCAGTTTGGACAGCCTTAATTATGTGGAATACCTATTACAAAAGCTGCCTCCGGGAAATAAGCGAGAGTTAAAAGCACTCTGGCATTCTTTGTGCTAATGCTGAGGATAGTGGAAACATCGCCTAATTTTTGGCTGTACAAAATCTCAAAAGCTCTGTGAAAGTGAAAAGATCCCTTGTTTATTCCATCTTACATGACAAGTCTTGTTGCAAGATGAATGGACTGATGAACCTAAATCTACTCAGCAAAAACATGAAATACGTAAGCAAAAAAACTTTTGCTAAGTTCTAAAGGGCACCTCCTCAGCTACTACCGACTGCAAGAGCTCTCCTTACTTGAATGGAGTGCTAAAACAAGCAAGAGGACAAGCCTGCTCTCAAAGAACTTTCAACTGTTTAATAAAATTTTGGGGTAGCCCAAGATAGAAGTGTGGAAATATTTTGACAAGGGTTTTGACAAAGAAAATAGGGCAGTAAGATGGGGTAAACTTTTTCTACTAAAACATCTTCGATGCTTTAGATGGGATGCCATGTGTACCTGATCTCCAGCACCAACATCCTCTTCATTCCTGTGTAGATGAACACCTTGGGCAATATCAGGTGACTGCTGTTCCAGTGCCACTAAAACATTACAAGTCTTGTAGTCAAAGCCTATTTGGAAAAAAAGAATAGCAATGAATTAGCTTTTTCTGTCACGATTAGCAAAAGTAACATGGAACCATATGACAAAAATTTCATCTTATATAGGATACCACATTCAGAACACAAAACCTTTCCACTGTTTTCAGTAATTATTTTGTAAATACTACACTTGAAACCTTTTTTAGGATGGTGTGGGGTATACAGGGTTGCCTTTACTGCTTGTTGATGCTTATTTTCTCCTGCACTGGCTCCCTGTGCCAAGCCCATTCAAATTATTAATGTCAACTCAGAAAATTAGACAAAAAGGTAAATAATGATTCTCTCCAAAATAAATAGTTATAAAACCTTCTACATAAATTCCTGGAAGACGATGTTTTCAGCAACTGAAGGCTCTGCTCTCTAACACATCATTTTAATACATGTAAGGTAGTGTCTGTGCCTAAATCTCTCATGGGGCTTTGTGTGAACCACAAACAGAGAAAAAAAAAAACAGATTCAAGTCTCACAGCAAATCTTGAAGTGGGAATTTACACGACTTTCAAAGACAAAAAGTAAAGTTTTAAAAAGAAATTGGAAGAAGATTGTGGAAAAATTTCCCACCTGTTCCCAGGTATATTGGTAGTAACTTGCTTCTCTCTAAATCCAACCTTTCCTAGAACTGTAGCCACTGACAGCTGCTGACCAAACTTATGTTCAGCCAGTACAACATATGCACATGTCCATATGCATATGATCCACTTGAATGCTCTTCACCCCCTTTTAAAGTAAACTATGTAGAAAATTGTATTTTTGTATAATAGTTTGGTTTAAGGTTTTTTTTTACTTCTAGAAATTGCTTTTTACTGGGTCACTGCATCTCCCCTCATAATTTTTGGCAGTTAGGATAAACAAGAGATTTACAACCTACTAGATTTGCCAGTGTTTTCTATAAGCACTGCTGTTACATGATACTGGAGGCAACGTGCAGATGTGCTGCAGTAATATTCTCCCACCACAATCTCCCTGCAAATTCAATAGCAATTAAAGGACTGCAGTAAACAACTTTTTAACCAAAAGCTCTTAAAAGATACACTCCACTGTAACAGACTACTTGGAATAGTTATATTTTATAAACAGACACATGCAAATCAGAAAGTTAAATGTGTTTGGTACATTTTGTCGTTTTAATCATCTGCACATCACACAAAACAGGTCTGCACTGCACCCTCCTCAAGTAGTTCTTCAGAGCTAACAGAGCACCCTCCACACTGAGAACCAGCTTTACACCTGGAATTCCAGATGGTACCACAGTACAAAAATATAAAGGTACAATAAAATGAACCAGGTAACTATTTTGGCCTTATATCACATTTCAAAGTGTTGTCTGTCTATTCACAATTCAGTTTCTTACTTACTGGGGTAAAGCCAGAAAGTGTATCATGTAGCACCGTGTAAGAAGCTTTCACATAGTATGTTCAGTTCTTATCAGGCTTGCTAAAGTCCATGTATGGAACTGGTGACAGACCTGTTTTGCAGTTGCCTATTGCTTGCTCTTTCAGGATTTCATGAGTTTTCCACCAACCTTTAGCTGAATCATCATAGCCAATATGTCTAATTGCATCTCGGACAACTCTCTGATAATCCACAATAGCACGAGATGTGATCTCCCCACAGAGCAACACCATTCCTGTCTTACATACTGTCTCTGAAAAGAGAGATGAAAAGAGGATTACAAGAGCAGAAGCAGCCAGCCTAGTAAGAAAAATAACTGTGTTTGTGACAATGGTGATTTTGAGAGATCTATTGGGTGTATACTGTGTAAATCCTTTCTACCCATATTTTTAGCATTATTATCTCCTTCCATAACAAATTTATTTCATATTCACCATATGCCTGAAAGTAAGGAGAAGACTAATGTGTCCTATTTACAAATGGGAAAGTCAAAACACTGAGCATGATCCAGTGATTGATATGCACCAACTTTAGAGAAATTTAGCACTAAACCATGATTTTAAATCCACTTAAACAGTGTAAGGTATATACTGAGGCTAAATAAAACTAATCAGTGATCAACTATTTTGAAAACTTGCCTCCAGTCCCAGCAGGAAGAATCTGAAGATGGGGTTTAGTTACATAATACATGAACTGCAGTAATAACCCGAGATTTGATGGTACAACTCCTTCTAAGTAGATTTCAAAAACAAGCAGGAACTTAGACTGAAAAAACAGTACTTTATTAAATAAATAAACTTGTCAATAAAACATTCAAATATTCTTTAAAAAATCCACTCTAATCAAGTCTGTTTCTTCCAGGACAATTCAGTCCACACACAAAATCTACAGCCAGCTTAAGCTTCAGTCTTTATAAAAACTTTTACTGTTTCTTCTCATTTCTCCTTCTCTTCAAGACTGAATTCTTATGTCATTTTCTTGAGAGTGAAATGAGCTAGCTCTTTTCAACATCCTAAAAAAAGAATGTGTGATGACTTAAAGCCAAGTAGTAAACAACTTACCACAAGCAACCTTGGCATTCGGGTCCTGTCTGAGGTGGGCGTCTAGCACAGCATCGCTGATTTGATCGCAGATTTTATCTGCAAGACATCAAAGCTGTGATTCAAAACTGTAGCACTCAATACAAACCATGGACTGCTTGCACCACTTTGAGTAGGTATTTCAGAAAGGAATTCTTTTATTGCTTATTACTGGCATATGTAATCCAGCTAAATAGAAAGATGTATGAAACATCCTGCAAAAAACCTCCCTAGATACAGTGGGGAATTTACTTACTGGTGTAAACTAACAGTGCCTATCACTTTACCTGCAGTTTTTTGCACTTAGGTACGAAACAATGAACAGAGGATGAGGTTTTCCTCCCAACCTTCTCCTTCTCTAACACCACAAGCCAATACAGCATGCCCTCCACACCAGGGATATTCTAACAGAGAGATGATGTTCCGCCACCAGCTTCCATTGCCCTAGCAGAAAGTTAGAATGTATCTGACCAACACTGTGGGTAAAGCCTAAGAAAGTATTTAGATCAATACAGATAATCACAGCTCAGTTGAAAGCCTGTTCCAGGTTTGCTTTTTGTCACTGCTTCCTACCATCCAGCAATGATGCCTCCTAAAAACGCCTGCACCTAAGGCAGCAGAAGGAGTACGCACACAGAAGCAAGAAGGGTTTATCAACTGAAGTTTGCCTGAAGTAAATCTTTAGTTACCTGCCAAGTAGAAAGCTTTCAACTCAGGTTTATCATAATAATCTTTTATCTTTTTTTATTTCTTTCTTTTCTCATGTTTATAACAAATGTTGAATCTTATTCAAATAATGTAGCTAATCTAATGAACACAAAAGGGTAGCACTCACAGCAATGCCTTCTACATGAAAATAGAAATTTTCTCATATAATTTAATTGTATCATTCTTTTAAAAAAAGTCCAGTATTGCATACTGTGCTTAGACTTTGCCATAACACGCTGTGTGGCAAAATAAATTAATTTCCTACCTTGCCCTGTGCAACACAATCTGTTGGAAAGCAATGTTTTGTAAAAGTCTGTCATTAGAGGCTTTTAATACATTTAACCTCAAATCAAAACAAATTCTCATTTATTTTCAGGAAGATGGTGTACATTTAGCTAAGAGGGACAAATCAAAAACTGGAGAACCAATGTGATTCTGACACTCTTGTCTCCCATATTAGCCTCTTCAACACAAAAAGGATGAACATGAAATACAATTAACAAATGTCAGCTGCATTGGAACCTTCAACCTTACAAGAACTGTACATGGATTACTAAATCTGGGACAATTATTAGCAAACAGGAATCAGATACCATTCTTGCAATTTAATCAGACGTCCAACTGAACCTTGTTTAGTAAGGCTGGGGGCACAGGTGGCAGGAGTGATTGAAATGTATCTCTGCTTGATCTCTTCAAATTTTTCATTTTTATAAGGAAATAGAGCCATATTTTCAAGCATAAAAGCAAAAGTTGTTGAAGAAAATATGTAATTTTTGATTACCTGGGTAAAACAACAAAACAAATGGGGTTAGAATGACCCTTCTAGTGCAGGTCCAATGTCCTGTTGGTTCTAGTGGCCAGGATTGTTTTTTTGTCTTTTTTTCACCACCCAGGATTTCTATGCCATGAACACCTTGACCCCTGTCCTTGCTCCACATGAAGCATGCCATGTGGTACAAAGAACCTTATGTGTGGGCTTTGCACGCTGTGGTTGAAATTAATTAATGAACTATAACTTCCATGAAACATCTTAAGGGACCACAAGCCATAGTAGCCAGTGAAATCAATGAGTGAAGATTTAACAGAATGCTTTCATGAGATTGATTGTTGGGGTTTTTTTTAATTAACTGTATCATTACTATCTACAGTATTTCATGGATATTGAAAGCAGCTAAATCAGATAAAGATTCAAAAAGCAAAATCTTAGAAGGGTGAGAGCCACTAAAACCATTCATCTAGAGTCACTCAGGATTCCTTTTCCCTTCAAATCTGTACATGAAAATTAGATATAATTTTAAAAGGTATAAATGAAATTCATCCATCATTTACTAGCTTGTCTGAAGAATTCTTGCATGAAATAATATTACCTGTGTATGAGGGTCAGACCAGATTATATAGTGGAGATCACTTCTGGCCTTTAAAATCTATGTGATAATCTCATCACTGAAAATAATAAATTAGGATAATTTAGTGTACTATGCTGAGAACATGCCTTTATATTAAAGTAGTCTGAGGCAAATCAGTTTGATAATTCATTACATACCTGATTATTGGTGCAAAAACCAGCAGATCTAGGGCAAACAGATCTCTAAATACAGATACAGATATATCTATCAAGACTGGAAAGAGAAATCTACCTGGATAATTGGCTGATTAATGCATTAAATTAAAGGCATGTCTATTAGCAAAGGCCTCGGGTGTAAAATAAGACCAGGCATTCTATTTTTAGTAATGCTTAGCAGGCTTTGTGCACCCTTCATTCTGTATTCAAATTTCTCATCTCAACCATCTCATTTCTCTTATCAGCTGCTAAATATGAGAGGATTTTTTTTTTCCTTTCCTTTTGGAAACAGGGAAAGCATAATGGACCACCTCTGGTGAGACATCATCATCTTTAAAAAATGCTTTCAGAGGTCAGAATTCAGTTTGTGCATCCTTTCATGTAGTGAAGTACTTTCCAATACAGTAACTTTTGCAAAAGGGATGTCTAAGCTGAGGATTTCTTGACTGAGCAGGAAAGTATTAGATAACCATGAGTTCTTTTCATGAAATCCAATCATCCCACAGACCTATCCTTACAGCAGAGATGCCAAATAGCCATGAAACAATTCTTGCTAACTATAAAATTAGTCTAGGGAGACTGATGATAAGCCCAGCCCTCAAAAGTCCAGTTATCATATTATGAAGTAAAGGAGGTGTTCAACAACAAAAGTGATCTCCAATAAATAGAAGGAGCCTCACAGTTTCCAGATAGTGGGACGTAAGTTTCTTACATGAATCTAGAATATTTAAGAGCCTAACACAAGTTCTCAGCACCTTCCCAGGAAGTTTCTCAGACTCACCACACACAGAAAAAAAAATCCTACAAAGAGCAGTAAACCCTGAAAATTTAATTTTAAAAAGCCCCACTTTTTGAAGTACAACAAACAGGTGCAACAACAATTCTGACTCTGATGGTGTAGTAAAAAAACACTGAACATTTGAAATAGCAGGGTTAATTTTCTTCAAAATAAAATTCAGTATTTTTAATGGTATTTTATTTATATCAACAGAAAAAAGAGATAATTTTAAACTAGAATGTGAAATTTTATATTCCAAATATGACAAACTTAGAAATACTCAGTTTTCTGGTAAAAAAAACAGTGAAGAAATGCAGATACTTATCATGAGCATTTCATCAAAAAATGAGCTTTCCACCAAAAAAGTTTCACTAGAAAGACTTCAAATAGCTTAATTATGCAGTACATTTTTCCTATTTAAAAGACTCTTGAGGAGTGCTAGTTGATAGCTGCAGTGATACTGCACTATTAACACTGTTTAAATATCTTGTACATCTGTTCTCTGTTCAATGTGCAGTTTACTGAAGTATTATGTATATCATTAGGTATATATAATCTTAGATATAAGGCACACAAGTATCAACTTGCTGGAAGGATCTACATTTTCTGGTTTGGGTTTTTTTTGTTTGTTTGTTTTTTGGGGTTTTTTTGTTTGTTTGTTTTTTTTCTTCTTTTGTGATTTTTTCCCCCCTGTGAATGTCTGGAGAGATAAACATATGTTTTTAATGTGGTTGAAAATCTGAGGGTGCTTTTAGCAGATGTTTGCTCTTATATTTTTTAAGATTCCTTGATACTTTCTGGAAAACTGAATGACATTTAGTTTGCAGGAAATTCCATCTGAAGTCACACCAAATAGGGAAAGGAACTATTCCTAAGTGGTTTGACATCTGTAAGACATTGTGGGGCAGAGAAACACACAATGAGTTTCAAAGCACCGTCAAACCACTGTGCAGCACAGACACGACTGGACTAAGCAAAATGGAGCAGTGACAAAAACCAGCTAACTAAATACAGAATCTTTCTCTTGCCCATGCTACTGTCTGTGTGCTTTTATTATTCTACTGAAATGAAGAAGTCTTCAGAGAATTTGGAATTTACCCCACTAAATGACTAAACGATTAAAGATCTGAAAGGGATTCCCAAATGCTACACCCAAGTGATTTTGAAGAATCTGGACTGAGAAGATGGGATAAACAGTCTTCTATAATGTCTCTGGGGAGCAGAGGTAATACCTGTATGTCAATTGCTGGCAGCTATTACTTGCTTCCAGGGAATTTGGGCTTCTCAGTGACACCCAGCTGTAGGCGTTGCACAGGTTCTTTGTATAAGGCGGTTCTTTGTATAAAATAAATAAGCACGTAATTTCTCCTGCTTTGTGTATTAAGGAGGAGGTCTCCATTAAAGCATTCAGTCCTCAGCTAATATAATCAGAACAATTCAAATTTCCACCAGACAAAGATCTGGTTCAGGATCTTTACTTCACATAATGCCCTCTAGCAAAATTATACTATCAGATACGGAAGAGAAATAATCAAGAACACGCAAATTATCCATTTTGTATAAACAGAGGAAATCAAAACTCACAATAAAATTCTATTGCTACAGATAACGTCAGAAGCCCAACTACAGCCTCAGGCACTGGGCCTCATTTTAAGAAATAGCCAAGATTTTCCTGGGTGATAAAATCCTAGTGGCATGTCTACACCTCTCATGCAAAACCAGAGAAGGAAAAGGGGGAGTTGGCCAGGATATAAGGGAGATCAATCTGCTTTCAGAAACTAAGAGCTACAGCTGGGACAATTAAGATCCATTGCTGGGCTGTGTTCAGGAACAAGAATTTGCTGCACCACCCAGAGTTACTGACTGCCAACCTGTCCTTCTTTGATCTAGAAAATCGGTATCTTCCCTTTGCCATAGGGTTTGGGTTTTCAGAACCCTACACAGAGATCTAGGCTGTTTAAGAAAGTACAAGCATCGCAGTCTTGAAAACGTCCAAGTTAATTTCTATTTTCTACTCACTCTACAATGAGCCACCCAGGTGGCCACTTCAGTTCTCAGAGTACCCAGAGACCCACCAGCCTGTGTCAGGTAAGAGGCTGTACACACATCAGACAACTGGTAACAGCATTTCTCTGCCCATATGTTTAATACAGGAGAAAAATAATGTTCATGAGGCTTAAAAGAAAGCTACTGAGCGCCAATGGAGTGCTTGGAAATAAAGAAGAGAATGTGAAGAAGAAATGAAAATAGGCCAAATTCTAAAACAAGAAACAAGATAAAAAGAGAGCCAGTAAAGGAAAGAAATCAAGGGACAAAGCTAAACCTGGGTACTCAGTTGAACTCCTTCTGATGTAAGAGTTCCCTATTATTGCCCCGAGGGGATTAAAAATAATGATTAGAGTAACATAAATTGTGACCTTTCATGTTTGGAAATACCATCATCCATTTAAAATTAGCATACTGTATAATGTTATTTTTCCTGTGAAACTACATAGCACTACAGACGCTGGATGTAATTATAAATAAATTTGAGATAGGACCTATGTCCCAAGGACAAAACCTGGCTGTCATTTTCTGACTGTGTTACATCAGAAAGAACCCCAGCTGGTTTAACCTGATGTAGCTGCCTCCACATTGATGGAGATGTACTCAATTGCATCAGCCACGGATTTGATCTGCAGTAATAAGTTTATATCATAGGAGTATCAGAACTACAGACACAAAGTTCTTATTGCCAACCTTTCTATCGTCTGCTACGTCACTCCACCCATTTATGAGTTACTCACATAACATGAACACAGACCTGAAAAAGCCTTATTATAGCAAAAAGTACAGGCCACCAAATTGGCTTCTAAAACAAATACACTTTTCAGGACATCAAATAGCCTATTGTCCCTTGGCCTCACTTGAGGGAACAGTTGCTGTTGACATAAGGTACATGTTTATGGTGGATGAATATTTGTTTTCAATAAAATTGAACTAATCTCTGCTGACCATACATAAAGTTTAGCAAATAACTGTCCACTATTTGCTTAAGCAATTCCATATATTGCATCAGATGATGGAAAGGGGCGGGAGGCAGCAAGGTTGGAAATCAGCGATTTTGCCCCTTACAGCTGCTGGAACCACTAAAAAAAGACTTTAAAACAGGCTGCTTAGGGATATTCCTTTGTGGGGTGACAGTTTTAGAGCATTGCATATGTGGAGGACAGTTTCACAGGGCCCATAAAGACATAGAAGTCAAGAAGCTAGCTATGTGTTCTTATCCATATGTGAAACTTCAGTCTGTCAGAGATACAGTACTGTCTCCACAGGAATATCGAAAAAAATTCAGATGAAAAGGAAGGAGCAGCAACCATAAGCCTCAATATCCTCCTCAGTTTAACACACACACCCTGCAAAAACACATAAACTGTTGGAAGAACCCTAGTTATAGCAGTTCTGTAGACTGTACGGACAAAGTCCAGTAAGAAGAAACAAAGTAAAAAGCACCCTGTTACATGTAACTTCTATAATAAGATTAATAGCAGATGAATTCTTCTTCAGACTTTTAAAAGATTCATCTTAAATGAAAATATTATTCTTTTTACACTTTTCCAGAGCTGGTTTCTTACCTGGGTGTCCTTCTCCCACTGACTCCGATGTGAACATGAAAGCCCCTTCATCATCCAGCGTGTAATCACATAAACCATCCACTGGTCCATTCATGGTTGTGATGCTTTTCTTGATGAATTACTATAAGCAGTGGTTGAAGAGTTCTACTTTTAGTGCCTTCTCTTTAAGGAGAAGGCTCTTTATCAGCAGGACTATGGCTGTCTTCAGTTGTTACCTCTCGCTAACTTGAATTTCAATGTGTGAAAGCAGCATGCGCTTGCATCTGGGCATGCATGCAAGGAGAATGCATGTGCCTGAAGTCTGTATCCCTACCTAGCCTGATCTGTCAGTCCCTGAGCTGCTCCTATATATGGAAAAGTGAAAGTGCCTAGATAATCATGTGAGGAAAATGGAAGAGCCCATTTCTTGGCAGGGGAGTTAGTTAACTTTAGGATATTTCACTAATTAACTCAGTTCTTGGAAACATTCCGGATTCAACCTGTGCAAGATTGGTTATCTTAGCAATTCAACTGAGCATGAAGTAACACAGGAGTACTAGTGATGGCTCAGGTCAGCTGCTTCTTCAGTTTGTCTCTCCCCTAATTCTGGGATCTATGTTGTGCTTCCAGCTGTGTGTTGGGGTTTAACAGAATAGACACAAACTCTGTAAATGCATGTCTTTCCTAACAAAAGACTGGAAGAAGTTTGCTCTGTGTCATGTAACTATATTTTCCTTTTACTTATTCATCTCTAGAAATGTAGAATTCTCTCCTTAAATACTTTTCATTTTCATTCATTCTTCGTGCACATTTGAGAGACGAAACATCTGATAAGATCTAGCATGACGGCTGCTTCTCATTTACGCAGACCTCTCCCTTCAGCCTTTGCTTTTCCCGTCTCTTATTAATCCAGATCAATTTTAATTATATTTTTATATCATATTCTCATAGTATATTCCATCACCCTTAGAAATACAGTAACTGCCACATCTGAGCACTCAGTGATCAGTTCTGCTATGGAAAATTACTTGTCAGATGGCTCGTGTCTGGAATATGCTGATGGTATGCCAGGTATGAAGACAGATGGCATTTTGTGGGTATTTGTGTCTTTAAATTACTATATAAAAAACAAGTAAACATAACCATGGGGCATATCCACAAAATGCCCAGCACTAGTGCACCATTATAAATAAGCGCAATTATCCTTAATTCTTTTAGAGGAACCGTTATAATCTCAATTTTAGACCAAAGTACAGGTCTATCAAAATAAAAATGTCTCTTTACTTCAATGCACAATGAATCATACTCTCAATCATTTAAAGTGTGCCTGGTACTTGGATTGGAGTGTGTTCCACAGCCTTTGCCATTTTGACAGCAATGAAATCCTTATCACTCAGTTTAAAAACCGACTTAGTTTACTTCAAACCCTTGGATTAAAATTTCTGCATTGCTACATAGTTATGTAAGAATTCATTAGAATTTTCACTTTCTACCTACATTCCTGAAAACAATAACCAGTGCCTGTGAATGTTCACCAGTAATCTGCTACAGCATTGGCCCCTCTCTAATTATCATTGACATGAAATTGTTCATTTCAAATACTTTTCCTTGGTTTTCCATTGTAGACAATTTGTCTCATGGAATGATAAGCACTGGTTGCACTTAAAAAAATGCACAATTCAAGCATCAGATACACATTATGAGGGACAGCTTTCCCTTGAGTAAACTGTCATCATCTTACTGACATGAAGATACTATCCCAGCCTGAATAAATTACGCATTAACACACCCAGAAAAAGAATAACTAACTATATTAACCCTAGTTAATGGGTAACATTCAAAGACTATATTATCTTTTGAAGTGATAAACATTCATTCTTAAATACAAATGTTTTGGGGTTTTTTCCTTATGGAAGCACCAGAAAACAATGCAAATGGATGAAACAACTCTAACAAAACCCCATTTTGTACATGTTAAGAGTTTTCTTTCTAATTCTACAAGTAATCATCTAGTAAAGGCAGACAAGATCAAATATTGTCAGTCTGTGAGTTCCACTCTCTCTTGCTTCTGATTTTGCTCTTTCTTGATTTTAAATGTCACTTAAGGAAAAAATTAAAGCTTGGGAATCAGCATTCATGTTTTGAAGGTAACACTCAAGCAGAATGCAGAAGCAGGCCTCTCTTATCACATATAAAAATAAAACCCCCCAGAAGCTCCTAAAATGCTGAAGAGCACAAATAATTTGACATATACAAGGAATGAGTCTGCAGGACCACTGTTTATTTTGCTTTTACGGTTCCTCTTTCTGGACTCACTTCTGTCTAGTTAAAGGTCCTTGAGACCTTTGGAGATCATGCCTTCATTGAAACATTCTCTCTGGTAATAGTATTCTAGAAATGTTGCACAGCTGCATTTTACATTAACTTGTGTAAAACTTCCAGTTTGAACTTCTTCCAGTTGTGGTTTTACTATCAAGAGTAACACATTTGCTTTATGGCCATGAAGCACCTCAGCATGTTCTCTTCTAGGACATCTGTGACCAACGCTAAAGCACTCTAGGGTTAGGTAATGTTTAATTTGGCTCCTCTTCCCAGACAATTTGACATTTTAAATATTTGTAAAAAGGTAAGATAGTGCTCTACCATCATGTCTTTCTGGCACAGCATTTCTGCCTATGAAAAAGAAAAAAAAAAAGATAAAAGAATGATTGATATCAGCATTTTTCCCTGTTCCATTTTATTGATAGTGACTCATCACTCAGTGTAAAAGGCTTCCAAATTTTATATTAACTTTCATACCATAGTCAACACCTTTGTAGACTGAATCCTAATAAAGTTTCTCTGTAAATCTCTTTATGGTTTATATATTGTCCATTGCATTGTGTTATCTTTTGACCACATTCTATGACCTTTACTCAGAAGATACCTAATGGTAAAATCTTCTAAATTAGTGTGATTCCCATGCTTTGAAATGAGGCTAAAGACAGGAAAATAATGATGTGAAAACAACAGTGCCCTTCTGTATTGCCCTATATTGAGTATAATGTCAGTTGTAACCACTGGAATAGCAATGTGAACATTTCTATTAACTGAGTCTCCTTATTTGGCATCATCCCATGGTTTTGCTACTTTTACTCATGGCAGTTCTGCAAAACAATCCCTCTTCTAGTTCATATAACAAACATTTAACATCTGCCAGAAGGCATGGGTTTACTGTAGTCCTGAGAAAACCTTGAAAGCAATGAATAAGATAAAACTGACCAAAAAAATTTATCAGTGATGGCTATTGATGCTGCTGATTGTCTAGACATATATGACTGATAATTGTCTTCCACCATCCCCATATCACCATGTTGGTGAAACAGAGCTTAAATCAGTCCAGCAATTTCATTACCTGGGAAGCATCATCTCCTCAGACAGTAAGATTGATGCAGAAATAGACAACAGGTTAGCTAAGGCATACAGAGCTTTTGGTAAACTCCATAAAAGAGTGTGGCGAAACAAACACCTGAAGAGAAGTACAAAGATCAGCGTTTACAGAGCCATTGTACTGTCTACTCTTTTATATGAATCTGAATCATGGGTCATTTACCGGCACCACTTGCATCTCTTAGAACGCTTCCATCAGCGCTGCCTCCGTACAATCCTAAACATCCACTGGACTGACTATGTGACCAACACGTCTGTCCTTGAACAGGCAGCAGTCACGAGCATTGAGGCCATGCTGCTGAGAACACAGCTGCGCTGGGCAGGGCACGTCTCCAGGATGCAGGACTAAGATCGTGCTCTATGGGGAACTTGCCACTGGCTGCCGCAAGAGAGGAGCCCCGAAGAGGAGGTACAAGGACTGCCTGAAACAATCCCTCAGCCTTGGCCATATTGATCACCACCATTGGTCTACCCTGGCCTCCAATCGGGAGGCCTGGAGACACACCATCTATAACGCTGCTGCTGCTTTTGAGAACACACGCAGGATCACTCTCGAGGAGAAAAGACAACGCAGAAAGAATCGCGTCTCGTCTGATATCACCTGGGGAGTCTTTCTGCTGTGCCTTCTGCAACCGGACTTGTCTATCTCGCATTGGCCTTTTTAGCCATCAGTGCACTTGCATCAAGCGTGGGTAGAGCCCTTCTCAAATCTTCGTTTGCGAAGCCTAGCCATGATGATGATGATGATGTCTTGGCACTAGACCTCATGACATTCTCATCAGATCATTTCACTTCTTTCCTCTTTTTCTGCCCTTATTTGCTTTTCTTTCCCTCATTTTTTCTTGCTTATATCCATTTGGTTCAAACAGATTTCCTTTTCTTCTTGTTTTTTTTTCCTTCTTTTAATTAATCCTTTCCATCTCCCTACCTGTCACTACTGATGTCCTATTTAGGTTATAAACCACTGAATATGGAGTCTGTGTGGATGAATTATGTCTGTAGAAATGAAAAAAACAGGTTTGAGCCAATAGATTAGAGATAAAACACTATAACAGCAGAAGGGGAAGGAAGAGTAGGTATCTTTAAGACTTGGTGACCCTCACTTCAGCTACAGAAGAATCATGTTTTCCCTGGAAGCAGTACAGGTTTATACTCCACTCCTACTGTTTCGCCACTGTGGTACCTTCTTTTGAGTGAGGAGTAAATTGTATCAAGAACTCTGAAGAAATTCCACATTACTAGAATCAGTCACGGGAAAACCATTTCTTAAGCTGTGTAATTTGTCTCTCTCATCACAGCTTTCAAAGGTTGAGGACAGTGAATTGATCTGTAGAGAGCACACACTTCACAGGAACTCAAAGTTACAATTGCACTATCATTAAAGAACCCAAACATGCTTAAGTTTAGCAATATACAGAAATACTTCATGCACACAAATGACATCAGAAAGTGTTTTCCTAAACAATTCTGTTTTGTTCTCTCACCTTTATCTTCAGATAAGACATTATTTACCAAAGTTAACAGTTCAACAACAGTCTAGCAGTTTAAGTTTCGTATTTTGCTGTTCTATTCCCACTTCACAAAAGGAATTTACTCCCATGTAATGTCTGTGGAAACAAAACAATTTTGCAGGTGTTTACAAAAACAACTTGAACATTAGTTTCATTTGTGCTGTTTACTATTTGTAGCTCATATAATACAAATAATGTGTTTTCAAGGAGCTACTGCAGTCCATCCTTTTTTCCTATTGGAGACATGCACTAATTACACCAGCCTCATGGGAATGTGTTTGAAGGCTTTTTGGTTTGTTGGTCAAAAGCCTTGTCTTAGCCTGTACATTTTGGTTTGGGGGAGGGAGATGTTTTGTTTTGGTTTTGAAGTTAATATAAGGAAGATTTGTTAAATTGTGTTTATTTCCTTTGCATGAAGA